ACAAGGTGGGGTCACAGTACCAACCAGGGGGGCCCACTACCGTAAAAAATACAAAAATACATGTGTATGGCTACTGCCGTTGGGGGGCATTGCTCTCCAAGAGGCCCCGGCCCTCCAGCCGCCCCCCCCCCCCGGCGACGGGCCTGTGTCTTAACCTGACTCTCAGACTTTCCTCTTATGTCACTAACCTCTGCTCTGTTCCAGAATCGACAGCTCTCGTCAACTTGGCGGTTTTTCGGTTTTGCTGCCCAACCTCCTCAAAATGTTCTGTCTAGTAGGACAGCCTCCAGCATCAGCAACGTACAGACATTACAACCTTGAACCAGACTTGTATAACCTATGGTGGCCCTGAAGGGACATCGCATATCGCAAACGTGTGCGCATACGTAAACGATGTCGCGAAATTTATCGCGAATGTGTGCGCACACGTATGCGATGTCGCGAAATTTATCGCGAATATGTGCGCACACGTATGCGATGTCGCGAAATTTATCGCGAATATATGCGCACACGTATGCGATGTCGTGAAATTAATCGCGAATATGTGCGCACACGTATGCGATGTCGTGAAACAATTCGCGAGTATGTGCGCACACGTATGCGAATTTGTTTGCAATGTCGTGAATTTTATTGCATACCTTGTCGCATACCTTTCAGTAAAATTCCTAATGAACTGGGGAGTTGTAGCAGCTAGTCTGGAATCTAGACGTTCTGTTAGATATAAATAGGGTCTGACTAATAAACCTTCGCGCGCACGCTGTTCCTCGTGCAATCGTTACTACTAGTACTGTCGAGCGCAAACTTGCTACTTGCGCAAATTTCAAAGGTTTATTAGTCAGACCCTATTTATATCTAACAGTACGTCTAGATTCCAGACTAGCTACAACCCCAGTTCATTAGGAATTTTACTGAAAGGTATGCGACAAGGTATGCAATAAAATTCACGACATTGCAAACAAATTCGCATACGTGTGCGCACATATTCGCGAATTGTTTCACGACATCGCATACGTGTGCGCATATATTCGCGATAAATTTCGCGACATCGCATACGTGTGCGCACATATTCGCGATAAATTTCGCGACATCGCATACGTATGCGCACACGTTTGCGATATGCGATGTCCCTTCAGGGCCACCATAATAACCCGCAACTCGAACTCTGAAGAGGCGACTGTAAAAATCGTTGTGATAGGTTCATTACTTTTCGTTGAAATTGGAGAAATAGTCTGGTTACGTGCAATTTTGAAAATTGTAACAATGGCGTCCGCAATATCTATCAATCTTTTCAAGCTTCACGAATATCAATTGGTTTCGTTTTTTGGGGGGCAATGGCCCCCTCTGCCCCCCCCCCCCCCCCCAGTGGCGTAGCCAGGAATTTTTCAGTGGGGGGGGGGGGGCTGGAACATTTCATGGGGGGGGGGGGGGGGCGTCAAGCAGGGGCGTCAATCGCTTCTCAAAAGTGGGGGGGGGGGACATACCTTGATCATAACTGATGCAAGCGCGAAGCCCTTACGGCGTGCGGTTCGGGGGCCCGGGGGCCCGCTTAAGGGCCCCAAAAAAATTGGATTCTAGATGTTCTGTGGTGTGATGTGAAGCAATTTCTTACGACTTTCCTCCATGCTTTAACTAATATTTTCTTGGCAAAAGATAATTATTTGAATATCGTTTTCGAGGTTGGAGACATTGAATCTGCTATCGGTATTCTGAGCTATTGGGGTGGGGTTCGGGGCCCGCTTAAGGATTGGATTGTCGATGCTCTGTTGTGTGATCTGAGGCAATTTCTTACCACTTTAACCAATAATTATCTTAGCACAAAAGATAATAATTTAAACATAATTTTCGAGGTTTTCTCAGCTAAAGGCATAAGAAAATTTTTTGTGAACATTGTTTTCGAGGTTAGAGTCATTGAATCAGCTACCAGAATTATGAGCTATAGGCGTGGGGTTCGGGGCCCGCTTAAGGGCCCCGAAAAATGTTGGATTCTAAATGCTCTGTGGTGCTATCTGAGGCAATTTCTGACCACTTTAACCAATATTTTCTAAGCAAAAGATACATTGTAGTACATAATAGGGCCCATGGCGTCATGTAGATCAATGATAATTTTTTTAGAAACTCAAAATCTCAGTGGGGGGGGGGGGGGGGGGGGCGACTGGGGGGCGACAAAGTTTCATAGGGGGGGGCGGTCGCTGAAAAGTTTGCCAAAAAATGAGAATAACAAGTTCCGTGTCAGCTATAAAATACTTGTAGCAATGAAGAAACTGTTTTCTTCAAACGAAAATATATTAATAAACCCACACATGTACAATAAATCTAAATAATCTGTCTGAAAACAACGAAAAGTACAACTAAAAAATAGGCAATTTCAGGCTTCAAGCAAATTATAGACAGGGCCCAATTTCACGGCGCTGCTAAGCACACGATTTTTTGCTAACAGAGCCTTCGTCTATTTCATGGAGACCGTAAGCATAAGCACAGCAAAAGGCACGCTTACTTCGGAGGGAAAATTTTCTTAACTTAGTGACGTAACAACGGAAAACTCCATGCACGCGCGACCGTTAGCACACACACGCCGTGAAACAGTGCTTAAGGTTAGCAATTTTTTTTTGCTATGCTTAAACACAACTTATGTGCCAACTGTTAAGCAGCGCCGTGAAATTGGGCCCAGGTTGCGATATATCTTGAACATGTTGGATTTGTCTTGAACATATGTTTGGGCGACACCCAGAAAAAAACCATTATTACCGCCGCCAAGGAGGTTATGTTTTCATCGGTTTCGGTTTGTTGTTGGTTGGTTAGTTTGAAAACATAACTTAAAACAGTAAGGGTGGATTTGCATGAAAACAAAATTAGGGGTGGTCCTTGGTACAAGTACAAATATATTTTTGGAAGTGATCTTGATCTTGGTCTGGATCCAAGATTGTTTTATTAGGATTCTTCACTATTCATGCGATTATTTCTTTAGGGTGTAGGCCTATCAACAACATGACGGGGATTTTTTTAAGCCTTGGACATGTTGGAGGTTAGGCTCTCTGAGTGCTTTCTAGTGCGAGGTGTGAATGACTGTCCGCTAGATGAACGGTCGGATATTTCAGTTCGAAAATGTTACTGAGCGCAACACAAAATACACTGAGCATTACACCCCGCCCACTTGGGAAACCAAGTACAAAATGCACCAATGTGCACACACGACGGACTTAGCGATATCATAACGGACATTACTCACAACCGTGATTGGTAAAAGATCAATGGACGGGGCTTTAAAGATCGATCAAGTGATCTTGGAAAACAGATCAGGCTCAATACTGCCTGGAATCAGTAGAAAACTGGGACATTTAGTATAAAATGTTTTGCCTTCTCGATATATTACAAATTCAAATTAACACTCTCTTGAGTATCTAAAACAAAGTCCCATCTTTCATACAAAAAACCTAACTTTAAAATCCAAGACATAAAACAGGTTTTTTTACGCATACAACTCACACTAATATTAGACAAATTACACCAAGTATGAAGTTCCTCTGATAACTCGCACTAGAATAAGACACATAATACAAAGTTTCTCTGATATACAGCTCTTGCTAAAAATTAAATATTTCAGGTTTCATCTCTTTCAGAGTTGTGATTTCATTCTACATGTACATATTGGCGATTTCATCTGCAAATAATGACAGACTACATGTACAGTTGTACATATACTATAGACCTTATGCGTAGCAGCCATCTTAGAGGGCCTGGCATTTATTTTGCTGGGATATGCATGAGTGAACCCTTTATGCATTCACTGCTACTGAATAAAATTAATAAAAATGACCCCTAAGATGGCCTCTACACATAAAGCCCATTGCCTATAGACTCCTTGCATCTTACGTCATAGCCGAGGGTAGGCCTTTGGTTAAGTGTGTACTTTTACAGTCACTGAATTCAAATAACAAATAAAACAGGTCCTCAGCGAGGGTACACCGTGCAAGCGGTCATGTCAGTACTGTTGCTGACCAACAGACTCAAATAATTACCGATGTCTATGATCTCTGTGCACAAGTGCAGTACCCCCTAGACAGTTAATACAGAACAAGAGTTAGGGGAGACCAGTGGGAGAAACAACGCTTTGCTTGCCGTTTCCGACTCTCACGCGAAGGGATACAGGATTGTGCACATTCAAAACAAATTAGTAATGTGCACAGTTGGCGACAGATACTCCCGAGAAAATGTGCAAATTGGTGTCCCACTGTCCCTCACATTAGAGCTCTGGTGAGCTGGGACAACGTGCCAAACATGGCACCATTCAAACAATAATAAACAATAACATATTAATAAATAATGATTATCGATTTTTCTTTTTTACAAGGACAATTTGTTATGTTTTACTTGGCCTTTTGTAGCGGCATAGCCAGGGGTAGGGGATTGGGGCGCATTGCCCCCCCCCGAATAAAATTAATTAATATTAATAAATAATGATTATCGATTTTTCATTTTACAAGGACTATTTGTTATGTTTTACTTGGCCTTTTCTAGTGGCATAGCCAGGGGTAGGGGATTGGGGCGCATTCCCCCCCCCCCCCAAAAAAAAGTTTTGTCCCCCTTCCCCACTGGAAATGTGTTTGACCTATAAGCGACCATGGATGTGAAATTTGCAAGGTGTGTTTCCAAAAGTTGAAAGTCATCTGTTGAAATTATATATGTTTGACATATCTACACTGTATGCTTCCAAATGATACAAGAGGCTTACAAAAATATACGTTTCAGCTGGGTAGTCTATGACTCCATACAATGAAAAGTTTCAGGAAAATGTAAAAGGGAAATGTACAACATTTGCAAACATCAAAAAAAAATCATGTAAAATCATGGCACCTAATGTGCTGTCATTTTTTAAGAAAAGTGACATTTTTGTATCGGTTTCTTTTTGTATGAAGCTGGTCAGCCAACCAGCGCTGGAAAAAAAAAATGACCTTTTCCCCCAATACTGCCCGCAATTTACCATATTCAGTTTGTTTGCAACCAACCAATTACAGCAAGTCTATGAATGGGTACAAGCCAGGTAGACTGGTTCCCTGACGTAACAATTCCCTGACGTCTATAAATTGTTCTGTTTCATCTTAAGGGAGGTCAGGGAACCCAACTTCAAGAACATGATTGTTTTTTCTTAGTTTTTCCAGCATCTACAAACACAAAACTTCAAAAAAGTCTGTGTAACAATATTTGCTATAAAATACCGGTACTAACCCCCAGATCCATCAATTTCTGAAAATTACAGCAAAAGCATATGTTGTATATTCCCTTAGTGCATTTACATGACAGAGTTATAACATGAATAAAACCTGCATTATCTTCAATATCAACACATTATCAATATACAAAAACAGTTCAAGTCTATATTTATATACAGAAAATCGTACATCGTAGAATTCATACACGCAGAGACCCTACAGCAGTGAAGAGAGTGCCAAAGCTGACACAGACATTACATTGTCAGCAAAAGCTCTCAAAGGCATCAGGAAAAAACATAAACTACTCATGTATTTTATAAACGTGCACTGTACAAAATAGAACCCAAAAGGGTTTCCACTATTTATACAATTTAAAGACACAATACGATAGCTTGTGAACTACGCTTTTATAGATTTGTTGTTGAAAGCATGTTTATTTGTAGTGCTGGGGAGACAGGGTCCTTAAAAAACTTTACACAACAAATCCTGAAGTGCCTCTTAACTATCTAGAGTTAAGACCCAGAATTACATTTAATTGTTAAAATCTGCTAGACAGTACTAAATCGGGTACTGAAGTAAACTCTGACAATTGTCAGCTTGGTTTTTATTCCATCTAAGTCTATATGACAGTCAAGCATGCACCTGACACAGATACACATGTAGTCTGGTGCCTTTCATATTAGAGCCATTAACTCAATTATGATCATTGTCAAGACTTGTAGGAACAGGCCCAAGATGGCAGTCGTCATGCGTAAATTAGTCTACCCCACTTGTTTGCGACACTTCTTGTGCACAACGGCAACAACGACGACGACAACGACTGTAAAAATGATGAAACCGATGAAAAGGCCCGCCAGTTGACCCCCGGTCCAGTACCAATAAATGCTGGGATCTGACAAAGTAAGGAAAGAGGGGAAAAACAATGGAATTATTTGTGTACACGTACATGTATATGGTGACAAAATGGTGAAGGTTAAAGGGAATATACAACATTTGCTTTTGCTGTAATTTTCAGAAATAAATGGATTTGGAGGAATAGTATGTTAAAGCAAATTATTGCCACACTGGCTTGTTTCACGTTTTGGGTTCGTAGATGCTGGAAAAACCGAGAAAACCAATCATGTTCTTGTTGTCTGGTTCCCTGACCCACTTAAGATGAACGAAACAATTTATAGACGTTGGAGAATTATAAGGTTAGAGAATCAGTCTAGCTGGTTTGGTACCCCTTCACAGGTGTGTAATCAATTGCCAAATAAATGCGGAATAACTAAATATGAACTATTTTGAGCAGTTTTTGAAAAAAAGCTAGTTTTCTCCGACGCTGGTCGGCCGGCCAGCGTTGGAAATTGATACAAAAATACCACTTTACTTAAAGATGTCAGCACACCAGGAGTCAAGATTGTATGGAATGCTTTAGACTGTCATTCCCTAACACTCCAGTAAAGAATTTTGTAGTAATGTAATCATTCTGGTTTTTTTATGTTTGCAAATGTTGTATCTTCCCTTTTAAGTGGAGATATCTAGTCTAATCTGACTGTCCCATGTGGGTACATGTAAATTCAATGTACATGTACACTGTTATAAAATATTGAGTGGCTCAGAGTGAAATGGGAGGAATATTAGCACAAGGTAACATTGGGACTTTTCTATTTCACGAGGCCAAGCCAAGTGAAACGGAAAAGTCCAGATTTTACCAAGCAATAATGTTCCTCCCATTCAACAGTTTAAAGCCACTCAATATTTGTTTTATATAACTGACACATAGATCCTTGTCTTTTGATTTACAGTTAAAATGCACATCTATTTCAATACGAAATTCGTGGGAAATTTATTTCTCTCTTCTAAACCACCCCTTCACGAAATGTTTGAACCCAACTCTGTAGGCCTAGCTACTGGCTCAACGCGCACACCAGCACGCATTTGCTCACAAATATCGCGCCATGGAACAAGGATGATCCTAACTGTTGAATAGTAAAACCCATTCCCCATGGGAGAATGGGACTTTTTGGGCCCCGGAGTGAATGGGAGCAATTATGAATGTCACCTGATGTGAGTTCCACCAATCATATGACAAGGATCTGTATGTCAGGATATAATTTAAATCATCCCATGCTTGCTCACAGGTCACTAGGGCTGTTGAACAATTAAGTTTTCAAGTAGTCAAACGTTGAATTCAATTGAATATTCGAAATGTGCACAGGAATTGCACATGCTGGTCAAACACTTAAAAATATTATCGAGTGTGTGCAGGAAACTATTTGCAGTTTCTTCACACGTAAAATGTTCAAGTTTAGGCCCCATTGCCCCATGTGAGCCTACAAGCACAAAGTTTTGCAATAGCGAAGGGACAATACGAGAAAAATACCTGCACAGCATATTCCTTTGGTGCAATAGAACCTAGATACTTACGGCATAAGTTGTATTCTTCATCTGCTCCATTAGGGCAGTCTGTCGTGCCATCACAGAATTGCTCTGCTGTCATGCAAGTTCGGGTCATTGGACAGTACGAATCGAAGTGTGGCTCATTTGCAAAATAGTAGTAATCATTATAGCCATCACAAGCATCTGCAATTTAACAAAGATAATGGATGGTAGGATTTCTTAGGATAGTTTGTGGTCCTACATGCAGGGGAGAGTGGGGAAAAGGGAACTTCGGGTGAAAGGGAATCCCCTTGATGTCTCAACTACAGCGCACTGTTGTGCTGTGTAAAGAGTAGATGGCGTCAATGCCGCCATTGACTGGACTGCGTTTTGCTTCAACATTGAAAATACTCCCCCCGTTAAAGTTGTTTGACCCAAGTCATCTCAGGTTACAAATGGTATTAACTCGAATGCTTATGGATCTTTGACAGACTACAGTAGAAAGAGATGTCCTTTTTGATACTCCCATGATGAGACTCCGGTATTATTGTTATTAATTTTATTTTTTTTAAATTATTTAATTTTTTTTTTTTTTTTTACCACAACGATAGTCAGGACGGGAAACTGCCCAACACTATCCATATATCGTGCGGTATAAGCGTGCATGGTGCACTGTGTGTGGTGGGCGATGAACCTCATGCTGCAGCAGGAAATTTCAGGGAACATGCGCTGTAAGTACGAGCGGTACAACCTCAAAATAAATTCATGAACACGGAAAAAAACATTCACAGACAAGATAGATCAAGTTCAGGGAATTAACTTGCAGAAATCTTCTTTCTCCATCGATGTTTACTTGGTATTTTACGATGTCAATCCGACCTGCAATCGCAGTACATTCTGCAGTGTTACACTGTTGGTCAGCCATATGCCATGTTTGTATAGACTGGTTGCCACATTTTCATCATACCTTCTTTGGTGCGTTACGCACATGTTTTCATGGCCGCGATAGCAAATGGCAAAGGGAACTCTTTACAGAATTTGCAATGCTGCTTATTGTTCAAATAGAAAATACATGAAATATGTAAAACAGGATGGTATTACTATCAAAGTACTCATACAATGCATGTCACTTATGATATGACTACTGAAAGTCCAAGTTGGAAAATCCATCATACACATGTACATGCAGCTACAGCTGAATGCAAGAGAACTGCAAGTGCTAAATTGGGCCATAAAGCATGTATCTAAAGGTATGATGAGTTTGGTGAAATCAACTTCTACCTTGCATATTAGCAAATAGCACCACAAACATGCACCAGTATATGAGTATCGTGTTCATATTGGAGTGTTTTTTGTTTTTACCAACCCAATGGTTAAAATCTGAATGGGTAAAATCTGACCACTTTCCTCAAGTTGACTTTTGACTCATGCGCAGCGTGAATCAGCCTGTGTAATGTGAACGGCACAATGTGCCCTGACAGCTTTCTCCTGCCATTTTAAAGACTGTGCAGCGATGATTGTCAGTGTTCTCCAACTTTGAAAATTAAAGGTCAGTGCGCCGTCAAATAGGTGGGGGGGGGGGGGCCCTATAATTATGTTAGGGGCGCAATTTTCAGTCATTCATTTCTTTATGCTAGGGGGCGCTATTTGCAGATGAACATGTAATTTATGTACGGAAAACAGCTTTTAGGCCATTTCTAACACAGTAACACTAACAGTTAAGTACCGTACAAAACTGGCTCGGCATCATCTTTTTAACACATCAGTGACCAGAGACTCTGATGCAGTTTGGCCTTGAGACTTTTGATCTGATGGATTGCTACAGTGGGCAGGCTAGTCAGTTTGACAAGTGTTGCATGTTATTACTTTTGGCAGAGTTTCTGGCCAAAATATACCCTGGAGGGTAAGGGTAGTCCCACTTGTTTGTCTTTTTTATTTATTTTTTCCTTTGTTTTTAATCATGGTGGGTAACTTTTGAAGCTTGGCAGGTGCCTCAGAAAGCATGGCGGGGCACCAGGTTATATTTACAGGTTGGAGAACACTGGATTGTTTAAGTGTAATTTACCACAAAGATGTCCAGTGTGGACAGAGCTAATTAAGTAGAGATGGTAAAGTGCATGAACCTGTATCTCCAAAGTTCCTAAAAACAACCTCCAACTTACCACAGTACTTATTTGCTGATCCGTCATCACATTCGCTATAGCTATTCCCACGACATCGCTCATACTGAGAGAAGCATCCACTCTTATCCTGGCATTCCAGCTGATAAGATTCCCCATTGGAGGAACTACCAGGACACTTGTATACTGGAAATTAAATAAAATAATAATAAAAAACTTGTGAAAAAAAAGTCAAGGACATCCTATATCAAGCATGCATGTTGTTGGCCGAGTTTGTTATTATAAATTTGACTGGTCCTTATGAGCATTTACATGTGAGTCGACTTGAAATCAAATCGGTAATTGGCAGGGTTTTATTTGCCCGTTACGCACCATGTTGGCGTAGACCGCTACCGCATACCACACCGTCTAACGGAACTGGTATTTGTTAAAGGAGAGAAAAGGGTACACTGATCTTGAGTTACATGTAGATACATGTATCCCCACTCTAAAGCCGGCCTCAGGTCGACCCACGATTTGCTTGCGTCACGACAGAACCATTGGCATCAAGCAGAAAAATAATGCTCAGGTCACAAAACTGAGAAATCATGTGATTGTCGTGGAACACCTCACAGAAGCTGAAACTTTTCTACTTTTGCGACTGTTGATTTTTTTTAGTGCCGACCGGTGCCAATCTGTGCCGTGCTGCAGTTACATGTACATGTAAACATGCACAATACACTTCATGCCCAATTTCCAGATACCGCCTCCTGTTAATTTTACTATGAGAAAAATGTTCAGTGTTTTCATAAGAATAAATAAAGCCTGAATTACGGTTAGAGTAATGGACTCATCAACAAAACAGTTCACTTCTCACTTGAGAAAGTTGAGAAAAAAGTCCAAAAGACAAGGGCATCATTCTTGTCCATGATTCAACCAAACTTCACTAACATACGTGGGAAAAATTGGGCATTATCGTCTTTTTCTTCCAACAACTGCCAGTGAAATGTATAAAAAATACCCTCGTTGCCATCCTCAAGGTAATCCTCGTGATTTTTAAAGCGTTACGTTTTTGTACAACTAAATGTGAAACCTCCAAAAATTGCACATGTTGGATTTTATCCATTGGATCGTTTATGTGGCTACCCACGTACGCACCCAGCCGGCCATGTGCTAGAGCGGGTGGCGCGGTGTCATCATGTGCTGTGCACGCACGCACACGTTCTGGAATTTGTATTCTTGTGGAGACATTTCTTTGTTCTCGTGTAGTAAAGTTTTCGAGTTTGACATTGAAGTTTCAAAATGCTCTTATTTTATAACCAGAATTAATTCCCTGGGCTGAAATTTGGACTAAATATCCCTTTTCTAAAACTCTTCCATTTGCGACAAATCAACCTACCTTGGAAATTCCTAGTTTTTGAGTAAAATCCATATATCTATTTTGTGAAATTCTTGTGGAGACGTATTCATCTATAGAAATGTTTTTGTGGAGACGTATACAATCTTTTGTTCCCTATTGTGTGCATGTCTCCGTAAGGTAGTAAATTCCAGCACACCACACACTGTATTACCGTGTGACATGGTGATTTTTCCATGTAACAGGTCAATGTTTAACCTTTTATCCAGCAGGAAAAGGATTCCAATCAGTGTTGGCCAAGGTGTTCTTACCATAGAAACACTAATTTACCACTGGTGAAAGAGATTAAAAACTACGCTCACGATACATTTTATGTGCCGTTTTCATCAACTTTGAAATAAAATCACATTTTGTGGAAAAATTGTTAAAAGATCAAATTTTGTGGGACAAATCATTGCAAAATAAAAATGTTTGCTGAAAAAATTGGTTTTCCCATTAAAATCAGACATGTTTCATCTCTGTTACCTAGTTAACCCCCTACATCACAAGTCATCACGCCAATGACAATTTGGCCGATTTCAGACTCAAAATTCACCATCTGCCATGAATATGAGGCTTTGTTTAGACTATCTGTACTGTGCACACAGCAGAGTCCGTACACGTACACAGCCGATTTTATTTGTACTGAATGTCTTCTGGACTTACTACAGCCTTCCTCGTCGCTTGCATTTGGGCAGTCAGGGATTCTGTCGCACTTCCAGTCCTTGGCGATGCATGGTCCTGATTCACCACAGGATAACATACGACTTGAGCAGGGCAATGCAGAGGCACCTGTTGGATACAGGGTACAGAAGGCCTTAGAATTAAAGTTCTGCCTTAAAAATACAGGTCAGCCCACACACTCTTTACTGGCAAAAAGCACACAGCATAAAGCTGGATGCAAAGGCAATCCAGTGTGTAACTACATGTAATCTCGGCCCAAGACGCAAGTGATCAATAGTGGATAGTGCATATCTAACGGCACGATTAGACCAGCATGCCTGCTCGTACTACCCTCTTGGGAATCCTGTACGCCGTTTAACTTTTGTTTTACTTTTCCTAGGCTACGGCGACATGGTTTGTAGTCAGTCGCGCGCAATAATTAACGTTTGTTGCAGAATGCCCAGCTTTAAAAAAAACAAGTTTATAACCTCCGCGCTAGGGTTGTACACATGTCACATACGTGCTACATGCGGTGAGCAAGCATTGCTAATATGGAACGCAGTGATACCCCTGAGCGCCATTTTGGGAAGCCGCCGTTTTGTTTGAATGTGTTAATATTTACACCAGCGGTCTAATTTTCTTAAACAGCGTTCATGCCATTGCTGCAAGATTCCCAAGACTTAGTGCGAAAAAGATTTTAAAAATGTTGTGGAAGGCCAGGCCGCTCCACAACAATGCAACCATCGCTATTGATCACTGACTTCAGTTCAGGGATCAATAGTAACCTGCATACTGATTAAAAATTGTCCGGGAGGGTGGTTGAGATGTTTAGGTCAATGCCTTGAAAATGAAGATCTTTAGCAAAATGAATAATATATGATGAAAATAAGTTCAAGCAGTGCTCACCGGAGCTATGTATTTACACAACATTTATAGTTGGTTAAATGACCTTAAAACTTTTTCTACCAAACATACCCTTCTCATCGCTATTGTCTGGGCAATTTTGATGACCATCCGACCTCATGTCTTTGCTAATGTTGTACCCATCATCACAATTGAAGGTTTCGATGGAAACACCTGTAAAATAGAAAGGGAGTATATAGCTGAATAAGTCAGTTGCACAATGCAGTTCTTTGAAGTGCAACAAACTAAACTCAAACGGTCATGCACTGTGTTTCTCTATGTTTTACTAATATATGTATAACACTTACCATTGACTAAGCAAAAAGTATACGAACATACATTGTACATGTGAGGACTGTTCTCATTTTGAGGACCATGAATCTGTTGTTCTCTCTCTGTCTCAAGCTGTCCCCAGCCATGTACATAGTACATACATATACATACACAATGAATATTAATGACGTATGTACACATAAAGCGCGCCAGGCCTGGGTTATGGCTGTACCCTATGCCTCAGCAGCTAGAATCAATGTGTTAGGCCTGAAGCACAGAATCTACTCCAGTGACCGGCCATAGAATAGTGCTGCAGCCGAACCGCCGAACCAAACTAAAAATAGTCGAACTTGGTCTTCTGAACCGAACCAAACCGAACGGAACGGAACCGAACTGAAATGGTCGGTTCGGAAGTCCGGCAAGTATTTGTTGATAGCACTTGGAATGTTAATGCTTGCAATCATTATGGCAATGAAAGGGCAATATTAAAGCGCACGGTTGAAAGGGACACTTAGGAGGGACAATAAGAGAGAGAATTTCATTAATCCAATTTCTTCACACGCACTGCCTCACAATTAAAAAAGTCCCAAAATTACCGGATATTTAAACGAATATGCAAATTGCTTTTTTTGCCAGTTTTGAATATTCAAAACGAAAAAAAAAAAAACCGCATGTGGCCACTTGACTGTGTTGTAATTTTAATTGTGAAGTTACATTTTTGTTGTCAGATGCCACTTTTTTGTTGACAGTAAACTTCTTGTCAACACCTATTTATTGGTCCCATTCTTTTAGCTGGGTTAAAGTCCCTGGACAGTTATACAGTACCGGTACTTACTTCAAAATACTTCAGTGACCCATAATATACATTGTCGCACGCAAATTTTCACCGGCGCGCTTTGTACGACAGTTTTGACCAGCGAGGAAGGCAGCTGCAGTTCGTGTGTGTGTGAAACTTGATCGGCAAGTTTCGAATATCCGGTCAAGTGCAGTGTTGAATAATCGACTGCTAAAATATTCCAAAATGTGTTTAAAAGTCTGAAAAATCTCACACACCTCACATGTGTGTGACTTGTGAGGAATTCTGATGGACTAGACTTCAACACTGCATGCAAATGGCTGAGCATAACCTGAAAAACTTTCATTCTTACCGCCTTCAAAGAATGGTGATACAACCAGACGAAACTCAGCCTTGTCAGTGTATGAGGACGAATCAAACTTGATCTTCAGGTACCGCTTGGTCGTGTTTACCTGAAACAATGTATTCCCACAATACCTTGCCAACTGCCTTCTCCTGTTGAATGAGGAATCTGAGCTTTCCTCGAAGTTGAGACAGGCTCCGGTGCCGTCTAAGCCCATCTTCTCTGCATCCACTAGGAGACGGCCATCATCAGCCGTATAGAATATGTAGTAACAGGTTCCTACAGAGTATTGGGAGCCAATCATCGAGTAGACCAGAGCACCCCTAGATGATGATATATACTCAGTTGATGTATAGGAGACTACACATGTTGAGCCAACCATGTCATAGCCATCTACAGGTGCAAAAACAACAGAAGAAAAAAATATATACAGAAAAAAAATGTATCAGTGGTACAAGCTTCAAGTGTATGTATATTCTCAATTAACTACCAAAGTTGGGACAGCTTTCCAAAAATAGTTGGGGAATTCTTAACAATAGCTGGGATACCTAACAATAGTTGTGATAATCCCAACTACACATACATGTAGGAAAATATGTACATGTAGTTGGGACGATATTGGGATAACGGTACATGTACAGCGTGTGTCAATAAAAACGCAGGATTAGAAACAAAAATATTAAGAATATAAACCACCCCTATTCATCATAATGTTAACCCTCTTTTCAAAGTACGTGTACCTTTCCTTCTCTTCACTATGCTTTTTATCCCATCTCATTTGGACAATCCTGTCTAGAGATAGAGTACATTGAAGAAGGGTTATAAATTCCAAGCTGGTCTGATTTGTGAAATCACACATACCTAATGAAAGGTTTGAATTCAGTACAGGTGAAAGTATTTGTGGATCACAAAGAAGGACATGTGTGGCAGGATTAGGCTTACATTTATCCTTTAGTCCACAATCAATGTTATTAGTCAATAATTCATGATGCTTTGAAACAATGATAGTCCAGTTATTAAATTTAAGTGATACTTACATCATCAGTTGTTTCAAAGAAAGTTTTGTTCTGGTTTAATTGTCTTCAATGCATACCTGCATTGTACATAACTGGTCGTTGTGTTAAGGTCATTGAATCAGACCAACCCGCTTCAGAAGGGCTTCACAAAACTTGTCATAACTTTTGAACCAAAAGTCCAAATTCCACCAAAAGAAATCTTGTCAAAGATGAAATTATGGACAATCAAATCCTTATCAAATTAGGCACACCAGTAGCATAATTTTCTCAGAAAAAAAAATCGCTTTGAATCCTGCGTTTTTATTGACACACGCTGTATTTGAGCAGCTACATGTATTTATTCATAGGTCATGTTGCTTTTACTAATAATAGGACAAAAATCCTTCTAAAATTTGGTTATGCATCATGAGCCGTTTTTTTGGAAGGCCGTTCTCAGTGATTTGTTTTTATGAACGAGCTCATGATTCATTTTACGGCACAGCCCGGAAAAAGTGGCGCATGCTCATAAACCTTATGTCACACTGTGAGCCTCAGGAACAGCGGTGGTTCGGCCACTGGTTGAAAATCGAGAATAAAAAAAAATCTGCTAGACCATGTGCTTGAGTCAGAGGCATGATCTAGCAGATTTTTTGATTCCTGATTTTTCAATTTTTATCTGGTCACCCTGACTGGCACAGTCGCATGCACACAAGCACACAACACAGCCAGAACAGCAGCACTGGACGGATCTTCCTGAGAAGCCACAGAAATAAGGCGAAAAACAAAACGAAACATGTTTAGCGTCCCCATCCGCTTCCTTTTTGGAGGCCGGCTCCCTTTTTGTTTGTTTGTTTTTTAACCAAAAAATTGATAAATTTTCAACAGTGACATCATTTTGGCCTTTTTATCTGTTGCATCTAGCCCATTTAAAGCTGTAATGTCATTTTCCAAGCCCATGGCGGCCATTAAAAACAACACCAATTTGTGGACATCTTGAAAAATAGGATAGCCATTTCAGAGGGAGGAAAAAAAGGGCATCCTAGCTGCTTCCTTTTTGCAAAAAGGCAGGACGCTAAACATATTTTTTTTTTCGCCTAATCAATATTTTTCATATTTTAGTCACTTTACTTTGGTTAAAGTCGATCTTTTGCTTGGTGAATGGCTGCTTCGTGTTTTGAGGTACATGTATGTTTTATCGCCGTTTTATTTTAGAAGTACTTGGCCGACTTCTTGCAGTTAGTGACAATACAATACAATGAATACACCTTTCTGAAATTCTTGGGATTGGATGACCAAACCAACCATGCAATTTGTGCACAAATCTACATGCATGGGGGTATAAGAACCAGTCAAGCTTTAATTAGGCCTAACCCTAAAGATCCCAATCCAGCAAAGCACTGTCAAAATCAGAATTTTCAATAATCCATTGATCAGAAATCCAACATCGAGAATATTCGATATGTTGATTATCCCATGTAATTGGATGTAATGTAAGACCATAAAGATGACACTTTGATTAAAAAAAAAAATCTTAAGTTCCAATTATCCACGGTAGGCCTATTCTCTAGATGATAGCTAAATTATGTTAAAACAAATCTCAGCACGGATAGTTTGCCCAGAACATGCAGAATGGGCGTTTCCTTTTGAGGTTCTACATTGGGGGAGACTGCAAATTCCAGCGAACGTAGCTACAGCACAAAGCGACGCTGCTTGACATTTCGCGATGTATTTATTTTAAGCACAAGCTGCCGCTGACTTTTATATTAATATACAACAAACGTTAAACAAAAAGTAAAAACACAACAACAAAAATGTCGATATAAAATGATTAAAACAATTGTTATCGGCGATATCGATATCAAACTAATATCGAGTAATCAAGTTAAAAAAATATCGATTATTACAATCCAGCCAAACTCCAACACAAGCATCACAAGCATTCTGTGGAGTCCAACTGATTAAGTGATTATCATTATTGCACCTGTAGTTAAATGGTATGGGTGTTGGGATTTGCAAACATTTGATAGGCGCATTACATGTACATGTAACTGCATGCATGGAGTTGTTTCCTACCTCCATGGTAATGGTACTCGGCCTCATACCTGTCATAGGTTGTGCACAAGCTGCCATGTTTGCTGCCATCTGGATCTGTATCTGTATGGCTACGTTGCAGAAACCTATTCAGGCATTAACGCAACGGCGTATAAATATGGTACTCAAGGCGCTGGGAGTTACAGGTAATGTATGTTTATTATTAGAGACAGGTGAATGAAGTACATGTACATGAGAGATATGAGACCCATTGTGTAGCACCATTACATGTACATTGTATGTAGCACCTTAGGGTTTACAAGCTGCTGCAGCCAGAAACACCAGGGCGAACCCCTTCTCTTAGCGATAACTGTTACTGGGTTCTTTAACGTGACAACACACTGCTTAACGTCGCATCCGAAGGACGAAGCAATAATGGTAAAGTGCCTTGCTCAAGAGCACAAGCACCACATTTCCACAGTCAGGATTCCAACCCATGTACGTTGTACCATGGCACACGAGTCGAACACCGAAACCGTTTGACCACAGCACCTCACCATCCATCAACATTAACATAATCAAGAAAGACAAGATGCAGAGCGAAGGATCACACCGACTGATTTTGCGTATCAAATGTCCCCCCTCCCTCTCCACTCTGCCCCAGGTCCAATGTCGGGATTTGGTCATGTTATTCATGCCCAAGGGTGGATATTTTAATCACTCAAATTACATTGTATAAATTGTTACCACCTGGTTACCATTGGCGTACATGTACTATAGGAATACTTGTAGAATTAGAAGGCACCTTTCCGTTAGAAGAAAGGTGCCTTCTTATTCCACAAGTACATGTACTACATGATGGAAAGGCAGTAGTGTGCCCCATGTACATGACGTATCCAGGGAGGGCTAGGGAGTAGGGGTGGTAGGCGCATATCAAAAACATGAAAAAGCTGTATCCTCGATGCTCCTATTTTAGCGCAGATAGGCCTAAGGCTTTGCAACCAAGTAGCTTAAAAATAGCACAGCAACCACTCTTTTCCTTAACAAAACTTGTGCCTATATTGTTGGCTTGCGATCATCCACCATAGCGACATCTCTTTATTTGTTGCAACAACCACAGAATTCCAAAGTGTGCAGTTTTGGCGTTGTAGAAAAAAATCCTGCCTAATTCTAATTCTACGCAGGGGATGCCTTATTAAAAATCTGTGCTGTCCGGGCCATGTCAATCAATATTTTCTCTTTTTTTAATGAGTTAGACTCCTTGGTTTTAGAGAAAATTCATTTTCAATAATTTTCTTTCTTTTTCCTTTCTTTTTTCAATGCCAATACACTTTTCATAATTTCAAGATTAATTTACATCTATGGCCTATTTACAAAAATACATTTTTTACGTATTGACCTATTTAATGTAGACCTGTCCCACTTTTATATTGTTATTTTAATCATCCAAATCAGAGACAACTGTCAAGATGTCAGATTTTAATAATTATGACAAACAAATCAAACATATAGGCCTAATGGGACGTGTCTTTTTGGTTGCACCGTAAGTTTTACACCTCTGTAGAAATTGCAACGTATTATCTATGACATATTAAAGCTATAGTCCATCATTTGCAGCTATCCGAAAAATAGCTGGCGTATTATTGTTGAAAAACATACTCGGTTGAAAGATAGTAAGGGGACTAAACTCCCTGTGAAATTATTCTTTCTGGCAAGCTGTCATTTTGAAGTAATTAACGAAAGAAGGCCTTTCCAATGGTGCTTCTTAAGACGCACTGTAGGAAAATTTAAATTAGTAGTTCGTTTTGTTATTCGGTGAAGCGCGCGCAAGCATTGGCACGACGCACATGCACCCCCGGTTGCTATAATTCGTCAGATCAGTGCGCGACATCGCGTAGCTGCATTTGGCTCAGCGAAAACGTGTCTCGGACGCTGAATTTAGGCACAATTCAAAACATGATTCAGCAACTTTTGATTTGAAATGGAGATCCTAGAATGCTGTCTCAGAATATACAGCTGAAGCTAAGCTGAAACTTTATCAGGTTAGTTGTTCAGTACCCTTCTTTAGATTTTGAGCACTTTTGTTGCTTCAAACGAATAAAATGCACAAATTACAAATGATGGACTATAACTTTAAGTACTGGCGACAGTGGGAGACCAATAAAGCAATATTGAAAGTAATATTTTCAACTTCGGCAGGCCCAGAAGCATCTGCCTGCATTTGTGGTTAGTACTTCTAGAATTAATTAGAAGGTACTCCCTTAGCCTTCTAGCATGGTGATTTTTCGGGGGACAGTATGCTATGGCCTTTGGAAATGCACTTTGATAGACGAAATACCTTTGTCTTGAATTCCAATTTCTGAAACACAAATCCACCCAAAAAGTCAGATCGGAAACACAAGGCTGGTGAGTAAAAACTAAAATTTTCCACCTAAAAGATTGTCCCATGATCCAAATGTCAATGGTTCTAAAACAATTCAGAGTTATGGATCAACCTTGTCAATGTTTTGGGTGGATTTGTGTTTCAGAAATTGGAATTCCAGATGAAGGTATTTCGTCTATCAAAGTGCATTTCTAAAAGCCATAGCGTACTGACCCCCGAAAAATCACCATGCTAGAACAGAGTGCCTTCTAATTGTAGAAGTATTTGTAGTTAGTTTTGAAAACAGGATAACTCGTACGCGAACCAACTCGTATGCGGATTGGTCTACTCGTACGCGAGACAACTCGTAAATGAACCAACTCATACGCGAGACAACTCGTGCGCAGGCCAACTCATATGCCGGCCAACTCAAATGCGGGTCAAAATTAGCCAATTTAAAGAAATTGAAAGATGTACCATTGCCAGATTGGACAGAGTCAAGAATTGTCGACCATATAATTTTATCAAGACCCAAATTTTTTTTTTTATTTTTACCCACGGACAGCTCGATGTTCAATATCAGTTTTTAAAACTCTGTATCTGAAATTGTGTTCTTTTCATGGAAAAAAAAACAGTTCTGAACTCCCCATGCCTTTTACGTTACGGATTTTCAGCGTGGGTCACATGTGCCCATTTGCCATGTTATTTGCGCAATCACGATTTCGAGCAAGATGGCGTTATCCCTTCAAAACGGCTATGTCACTGTTTGTTGAAGCCTTTTCAACACACAAACAAACGTATTAGTACATGTAGTAATAATTAAGTGGCTTAATCTACTACATTGTACTACTAGTGTGATAATATCGGTTGTAACTTGTAAGCAGGCGCGGTTCTAAAGCCAATATTTGGGGGGGGGGGGGCTAGCACTAGCAGGGTGGGTCAAGACATTTTTTCAGGTAGGCGTGCTGAAATGTAGACCGGTTATTTTATCCAGACATATGGATATGTACGGTACATACAAAACACGTAGGTGAAGCAGGGGCCGGGATACGACCGTAACCTGTGTCAAAAAACAAACTCCCCATATGTACTGTGATGTAGATTGGGGGACAGTCGTAGGTGCATCCCCCGATCTACTGGTACATGCGGAGTTTGTTTTTTGACACAGGTTACGGTCATGTCCTGGCCCCTGCTTCACGTAAGTGTTTTGTCATGTTAATGTATGTACATGGTGTACATCTGTACTACCATAGACAATGCGTTATCACAGAGATAACGTTATTGAATGATCGCTGTATGAATGATGTCTGTGCTATAGTGCCTTGTTGAATTTCACGGATTTGCAACCCAAAAAATAATTGTGAGTATCATCATGATCATTGACGCCCCATTACTTCGTCTGTGACATGTGGAGATGCCAGTAGGTGCTTTCAAAGGTATTTTTCGTGTTTTTTGTGGTGAAGTTTGAAATTGTAACATTGACAATACTTCCTTATTGTAGTGGGACGCTAGCATGGCTACTACTAGTACTAGTACGACAGACCAACATCCCAAATGACAAAAAAGGAGTTCTTAGCGCCCCAGTTAGTGGGAGTAGTAGTACTACTACTACTTACCTAGACCCGTGAACAAGCCACGCTTCAGTCTATAGTAAAAACACTCTATTGTGATCCGCAGTTACTAAGATGGAGTGACCGTTCTAGCCGAATTTCGGCTACATTTGACAGAATATTTGCATACAAAAATCAGTTGCACAGAAAATCAGCAGAATATTTTTTTGGCAGAATTATGAAGATGATTGATGGAAAATGAAAAAGATTAGAGGAATAGCCTATGGCACATTTGGTTTGAAAAACCTAGCTGGAGTTACCCAGCCCTAAATTTTATCATTGGGTTGTCATGGTTGTCATGACAACCCAATGATAAAATTTAGGGCTGGGTAACTAAATTTTATCATTGGGTTGTCATGGTTGTCATGACAACCCAATGATAAAATTTAGGGCTGGGTAACTCCAGCTAGAAAAACCTTCATTTTTTGAAAATCCCTGAAAACAAACCCTTGCACAATCATGACAATGGAACAGCAATATAAACTGGGTGATTTGGCAGACTTTCGAAGTAGATTTAGCAGAATTTCATATGGTATTACGGTCATCCTGCCATGTAAGATGGATAGTCGGGTACCCACTGGTGATACTTTCACCGTTTTGCGCATGCGGAACACGGGGTACCAGAGTGTCATGCCTGTCTTTGATTTTCTGATCATTTTGAAAACATTCGTTGTGACAAAGTTGTGCCTCAATTTACACAAATTTCTTGGCAATGCCAGATCCAACACTCGCGGAAATTCACAGGAAACCCAACAAGTAAGTGATTAATGATTCACCTATGGGCAAAATTATACATGGTTTGGTTATATGTCATGTATGTAGCGGATCAAAAGATAAGTAGCTTTCGCTTGAATTTACCCGAGGGAAGCGCGTGGCGTTGTATACAACGCCACGTTCACGGGTCTACTACTACTACTCCTAGAACGAATGTCAGACAAGTCGACCGTTGAGACAACTCGACCGTTGAGACAAGTCGACCGTTGAGACAACTCGACTCGGGACAACTCGACTTAATGGAAATGTATACACGTGGAGCGGAAAAAGTTGCATATAAATCTGTGGCAGGACTAGCTGGAGTTACCCAGCCCTGAGTTTTATCATTGGGTTGTCATCTAGGGCTGGAGCGAATTTTTCTCGTAACTTGTAGTATTTGCAAAAATTTTTGGAAAATGTTCAATTTTGTCCCCGTTACACACTAATTGCAACTGCAACTCACCCCAAACTTGCCTGGAATAACCATTACACAGGTCCTTGAAGTAAAAAACGATCCACGATGAAGATTCAGCCTACAATTGCAGTGAAAACAGGAGGAATAACCGCTAACTTGACAACCTTGCTGGATTGGCCAGGACCGCAATTGGTTTGTGCACAAACAAAATTGTGTACAATGAATGGCGGTCGATTAACAGGCACAGAGAGCGATCGCTGTCAACTACTCGGTTTTGCCGGCTGCGCTGGCTGTTGGCGCATGACGTCACGCGGAAGCGTAACACCCGATGACTGTTTCATGCACTATTGGTTGCGGTTCCAGTACCAAAGCTGTGATGCGAGTGGTAAACCTTATATTAGTGCATGACTGTTTCATGTACTGATATGTGCCCCGCACCAAAAACCCACAGTCAGACGGCGCGGGGCACATATGACTACATAAAACAGCTATTGAGTAAGCGCGACTTGTTTTTCTTCAATAGTGACGTCACACACGCGCGCAATGAATTATGCATCAGTCATGTCAGTGAAATAGACTGTGCAACTCGGCAGACACATTTAATTGTGAGCGGTAAGTTCAGACTATTTTGTTCTTTTTTCAAAATTACCGGTTGTTTGAAACAATTTGAGGGGTCATATGGAATGTCATGAATGTGTGGATCTATCCAGGGTTACTGTCTTCCTCATTTGTATTTTCTTTATCAGTTTTTTGGGCCTTGTCCTCGCGAGGGCATGCACAAAATGCATACCGTCATGACGACCGTGCATGGTGCTACCAAAGTATGGCAAATCGGTGGAGCGTTTGTATGGAGGGGTACCCGTAATTCAACGCTCAGTAGAGCTAGCCTAGGGCCTATATGAGGCTCCACGTAGTGGAGTACTGTACGTGGAGCCTCATAGTTCTAGGAGTAGTCTACTACTATGCTACTACTTACCATACAATGAATCAGGCCAATGATCGATGGCAACAGATGTACCAACAATCACCGCCGTTAACATTATCCAATATATTGGCATATTGATGTCTTGATGGGCCATTGTCATTATCATCTTCAAGTATACAGTCTGCAGATCACAAATTGCTCGTGCGTAGATTGTTGTTGCGAACTTCATGTGCAATGAATTCCGCATGTAAAATTATACACAGGATGACCGTAAGGTCATGGCCAAATTCTGCTAAATGCAATTTAAAAATCTGTCAGATTCATAAAAAAATCTGTCAAATTCCCCAGAATTACTCGAAATACACTATAAACACTTAAATAACATGTAGATGTTGTAGTATTGCCTCAATTAAGGTTCAAATTACTTTATAAACAATGTACAGTAATATAAAGATGTTATGAAATTGCATAAATTTCAGGCAAAACGCGGTTGCGTCACGACAAAGTCCGGTTCCCAGTGAACCTCAGCACCTAGACCAGCCAACCTTTCCCATTATGCAAGGGTTTGTTTGAGAAGATTGAAGCTTTAAATGTACCTTTTTTTCAAATTTGTTATATGTTTTTTCTGTAAAATATCCATGTTTGCAGAATTCTGCCAGAAATCTGCTGTCAAACTCATTTTTTAAACAAAAAATCTGTCAAAGTTAGCCGAAAATCGGCTAAAACGGTAACCCTGATTATACGACTCGGCTGATGAGGGCGCTGTGAGCTTGGCCGGCAACTAAACTTGTATAAGTCCTTGTTAACAAAAACCCCGGCCCAAGGTTTAGGGTTCATTTCATTTCATTGATTATTTATTTCAAAGGTCAAATTTACAATGGTAAAATATGAATAATAATAAAAAATATTACAGACAGTATAGACATAAAAAAAGACGTGATAAGTTTAAAAAAAAAAAACATTAAACCAAAAATTAAAAAAACTGAAAAAAGGACTAAAACCCCTGCGGGATTGCTAAAAAATGAACTAAATCATTGTCAAGTAGTTCCCCCATAGCATGACTACAAACCCTTTTTTGCAAAAACACAAACATAATAACAGTGTTACACTATAACACATAATCCCATGGGCAAAACTTGGAAAAAAACCTTTAAAATTGCACAAATTCCTGGATTTAAATTTTTTTTGCACCATATTCGCTCTTTGGACATGCAGAGCCTCAATCTGGCAACTTTACACAATAAAAATAGCCGGTTCAGTGATCTGAACTCCGACACGGGAATCACTGAACCGGCTATATTTATTGTGTAGCGTTGCCAGATCGAGGCTGTGCATGCCTATGGCGGAAATGTAAAAAGAGCGAATTAACAGAAAAAGTAAGGAAAACACCCCCTAGATAACTTAAGATCTAAAAAAAAAAGACCTTGGAACGGTACGGGCAGACAAAAAATCAAACGACCGACAAACAGACCCCCACCCGACAAATGTAAGACGTGCAACTTGACCAAAAAAACCAAGACTCCAAAGAGACAATCCAACACAAATGACCCCACAGACAGAAAAACACTACCTCCGAAAAGAAACAGGGTTCTACGAAAGCCCATTAGCGCCACTGCAAGTATATATGTTACAGATTGTGTAATTCGTTATTACGGATTATTAATTCGTTATTACGGATTATTAATTCGTTATTACGGATTATTTAATTCGTTATTACGGATTACTAATTCGTTATAACGGATTATTTAATTCGTTATTACGGATTATTAATTCGTTATTACGAATTAGGTCTGATGTTCTCACACGTGGAGAGCACGTGACCAGGGGCCTGTGTATAAAGGGCCGCTAGGCGGCGCTATCTTTGCATACAACGTTTGCACTCCTGTGCCATACTTGCCGAGTATGACTCAGAACGTATGAGTAATTCGTAATAGCGAATTAATCATCCGTAATAACGAATTAAATAATCCGTTATAACGAATTAGTAATCCGTTATAACGAATTAGTAATCCGTTATAACGAATTAGTAATCCGTAATAACGAATTAATAATCCGTAATAACGAATTAAATAATCCGTAACATATATACTTGCAGTGGCGCTAATGGGCTTTCGTAGGGTTCACCCATGAGTTATACAAATGTATTTATAAAACTCTATGGGCTCACCAAATCTTTACAAATTTGGGTGTGTGTTTGTACAGTGACCTGCGAAACACGACGACGTTAAAAATGCCGGAGCGGGATTTTGAAGGAGCAAAACAAAGATGGCGAAATGAAGAGACTAATAAAGGAATAAACAAACGAACGATTAATAAATAAAAGGGGGATAAAATACAGTGAAAATAGTAATGAAGAGTTTTGACAATGCTTCATGCAATACTATGACTATGGTCCGTATATCTGAATCCTGTATAATTATACAATGTACACACAGGGTGTCTAAACATTGTGCATGAAGAAGTCGCTGATTTGCTCAAAAGGTGGTCATACTAGATAATCAAATTTAATATTATTTTAAAACCTATGGTCTCATAATTGGTTAAAATATCAACGAAACCCATCAATGCAAACCAGAGATATCGTTGATTTTGTAAGGCTATGCTATTTTCCTCCTGCACAACTAGAATCCTAAGTTGCTTAACTAGGCAAATACATTTCAGCTGTCAAAAAAAGATTGCATAATTATGTTCATTGTCCTTTCAAAATCTTGTCAAAGACCAACTTGTTAGCCATTCCAAGGGTGTATTAGATTTGATTATATGTACCCAAAATGTTATCTGTGAACATCCTTATTCAAATGTAACATAAAAGGCCGTGCAACATTTCAATTACGGATTATTAATTCGTTATTACGAATTACTCATGAGTGCAAACGTTGTATGCAAAGATAGCGCCGCCTAGCGGCGCTATATACACAGGCCCCTGGTCACGTGCTCTCCACGTGTGAGAACATCAGACCTAATTCGTAATAACGAATTAATAATCCGTAATAACGAATTAAATAATCCGTAATAACGAATTAATAATCCGTAATAACGAATTAATAATCTGTAATAACGAATTAATAATCCGTAATAACGAATTAAATAATCCGTTATAACGAATTAGTAATCCGTAATAACGAATTAAATAATCCGTAATAACGAATTAATAATCCGTTATAACGAATTAATAATCCGTAATAACGAATTAAATAATCCGTTATAACGAATTAGTAATCCGTAATAACGAATTAAATAATCCGTAATAACGAATTAATAATCCGTTATAACGAATTAATAATCCGTAATAACGAATTAATAATCCGTAATAACGAATTAATAATCCGTAATAACGAATTAAATAATCCGTTATAACGAATTAGTAATCCGTAATAACGAATTAAATAATCCGTAATAACGAATTAATAATCCGTTATAACGAATTAATAATCCGTAATAACGAATTAATAATCCGTAATAACGAATTAATAATCCGTAATAACGAATTACACAATCTGTAACATATATACTTGCAGTGGCGCTAATGGGCTTTCGTATGTAGTGGCTAGTGGTGCACAACTAAGTTTTCACATTGAGTGCGTAGCAAATTACCTATCCAACGCTAGGGGCGCCATTCCCTATCGTATTATGTCGTGACCATTTTTTTAGCGGACTGTCCGATCTTTCCCTATTTGTTTTCACTTACCCCAAGTGTACGCCTAATATATGGGCATTTGTGACCCAACCCGCGGCCATCCGAAAAAAAAATGAGGCACAGAGCGACAGTGCTACATCATTAAATAATTTGCATTTTGAAGAATCTTAAAACAATGGAAATCTAGACGACTGGCCACCCTTTCATGCGGTGTATATTAAAAAGTCAAAATTACATGTATTGATAAATTGAAAGGACCCTATATTGAATTTCTACAATATGGTGGAGCTGTTGTGAATTCACCAAAAAAAAAAAAAAAAACCACTTAATCAATTTCGAGTCTATTGAGGACTGAATTAGCTCACAAATAATTTTTGGGGAAAATGTTCAAATAAAGACTGTTAGAGGTAGTCCAAAGCTTTGCATATTGTTGCATGCATGATTTCGACGTTCTCAACAGAAATTTGATCCTGCCTCAGGTCTAGCTGGAGTTACCCAGCCCTGAGTTTTATCATTGGGTTGTCAATGACAACCCAATGATAAAACTCAGGGCTGGGTAACTCCAGCTACCTCAGGTCCGTACCTTGTCTGATCTTTTTCTTCGGGGTGAAGTTGATCTTGGTGGGGAAGTGGCACGCCTAGGACCTGCATTCGGCCATTCTTGAGCAGTTTCATTGCACCCTTCGTCTGAGATCATCCATCATTTCTGGAAGGTGAAGTGCAAGCTAGTTAAGCGGTCGATTTCACCGGCACGGGTTCGAGCATTGCCTGGATTCGCAACTCAGTTACTCAATTATGTCATCCACTACACATTCTTCTGATTTGCCAAGTTCAGCAGCCTCTGGGAATTCATCTTTCCCAGCTCGGCAGTTTTCTTTATTGCTACAGTGGCACCTGTGGCCGAGGGCCTGTCACCCATGTTGACTGCTCTCATACAGTACGAGGCCTAAAGTCCCCCTCCGACAGCATGTCACACCAGAGGAACCTGTGGCAGTGCATCTTACTGATGATGTCTCCGTCCAGGGCGATCTCTTTGTCCATAAATCGAAGTAAAATACCAAGCATCCATCATGTCTGGCCCCTTCTCTTGCATGAGGCCATCTCCTCTCTGGATATTTCACGTGCCACGCCCAGATGCATGCATGTCTTGCCGGACCGTAGCCTCGACTGAACCGATTTTGATGAACTTGCGAATGCCATCGCAGAGTTTCTTGAAATCAGAATAATGAACCAACTACCAAGTCTACCAACTTCATGCATGGCCGTGTTTTTGTCACGCTGCGCTTGCAGTACTTGTAAGAGACGTCGTTCTGCTTCTCCCTTGGGATTCTCCTCAACATAACTATATAAGACATTCCCAACCCAAGTTAGTTGAGGAGAATCTCTCTGGTTTTGCCATATTTCTTTTCAACTCATGATGCAATCCAGTCGTCGTCTATGTAAAATGGTTGTTGATGATGTCGTCATCATCTGCATGCAGCACCACGTCCTCAGATGCTTGGCACGTACAGCTTACCATGTCATATGCCTACTTTAAATCTGACAAAAGCAATATACATGTACTACCGGTTTGTTTTTAGGCATACTGTGTGAAAAAGTGCAGAGGCCGATCAGACTATTCTCGTAAAACAAAGAAGCTTACATTTGAGGGTGTACGTTTAAGTCTGATGATCCAAGACAATGCAAAGAAATAATTCAGTTCAACCGTACAGTTTGCAAGAGTCTTTACCAAAGAATTTACAGGGAGGGTAACAAAGCTAGAGACAAGGCGGCTTAATTTATCAGTGGGGCAGGTGAGCAAAATCAGCTACCCACATGCAGTTGGAGACCCCCACCTGAGTTTCGCCTCCCTATAGGCCTAGTTCCATATGCCACGGTCGATTTGGCATTAATGTTGGTTGGCCGGTCATCTACAAGTAGACTTCACTTACGCTATGGTGACCAAAAGAGGATTTTTACTATACGTTTGCCCATTTTGGTAATTCCTACATCTGTTATTAAAACTTAAAAAGTACAAAATTTGGTGTTATGTTTTGCATTTTGTATGTAACAACAAACTGTCAAACAAGAAATGAGTACCCTTACAGAAAATGTGCAGGAAGGTATAAGCGTAAGGTATAATACAAAATTATCAGCGGCCCTGCCCGCCAATTTGGATTCCCACAAAATGTGTGCCCCACCAAAATGCTTCAGCCTGGGGTAACATTGTGCAATTAATTAATGGTGCGTGATTTACAAAGAAAAATAAACAAATCATCGGTCACTTCACAAGCAGTTGTAAAAATATAGCCACTTCAATATGGCTCTACAACGCGTATTTTATTATTGCCCCCTATTATTAAGCAACATTATCATGTATACTTTTGAGTAAAGTACATATACACATGTACTTTAAGGGTGTTAACATTAAGTAATAACTATCATAGGTTGTTAACCTTATATGGGTCGAGAAGTCATATTTATCATTTCAGTTCCCAACTGAAAAAAAAATGTCGGTGGTATTAATTTGATACTTTTGTATAACCTAATTAGCTAGTATGATGGAATTCACTTTAAAATTCTTGATACAAGCACGGGCTACTGCACTAAACGTCGACTCGGTTAAAACATGTGACCATATTTGTTTTTAAGTTTTGGCATAACGAACATATACAAGGGCGTAGGCAGGGGTCGAACGAAACCCCCCCCCCGGCCCCCCCGTTTTTAATCCTCTGAAAACAAGTTTCAATTATAAAACATCCAAAAAACAGAAGTCTTGGATTTGTCTTTTGGGGCATTTAATATGCACCAGATTGCAGGATTTGATATCTTTCTTTTTTAATTTTCCCGGAGGAGCATATATGCCCCCCCCCCGATCCCCCTAGTCTGTGGGAATCCCAAGCTATTGCATTTAGAACCCACAAATCCTCACTATGCCCCTGATATAATCGGTTTTTTTTTTTTTTTTTTTTTTAAGGACTAGTACATATCAATGCATATAGCATACAAATTTACAACTTATACATACCCGGTGTCTTTGTTAGTTAAACTCAGCTAATCAGCTACATGTATATTAATGATTTCTATTTTTGGATCTCACCCAAGTCATTCAGTCTTTTGATATGATTGGCTGAGAGCAACTCACATACGGTACTGTTGCTTTTGACTATACCTTGGCAGCCTCAATTTGAAAAATACTATTCACACAGCAACCAAAGTACAAATGAAGGTTGATGTGACACAACCATGATCTGACTAAACCGATCATTTTGAAGGCCAGTTATACTCCGTGCACAGGCACCCCCTGTATTTTTGCACATTCATTAGAATAAAAAGAAGTAACGCGTGCGCGCACGTGCCAGTATGCGCACATGGTGCGTGCCATACTTGGGGCTCTTGGAAGTGGTAAACAAGCCTCCATAGGCGTAGCAAGGTTATTTTTAAATTGGGGGAGGGGTAAAAATCTCTTGAAATAGGCACTCGCACACCCGTGCTGAAATGTTTTTTTTCCCCCGCACACTTGGCCGTAAAATCAAACAGTTGGTTAGGGGAGGGGGGGGGGGGGGGGGGGAGGGGCCGGTACCATCAATTAATTAGGGCACTGTTCAAAACCAATGGACGACTAGACGAATGAGACATGTACCGGTAGGGTGATGGCATTGTGTTCCTTTTATCCCTTTTTCTAAAGATTTCACATCCGGGGTGATTGTTTTTTTTTTTTATAGATTTCACATGTGGGGTGATGTCTATGAACAGAAATCATCCCGGATGTGGGATATGGTTAGAACGATTATACACACTATCGGACAATATATGATTTTAACAGGGAGGCACACACGTTAAATTCCCCAAAAGGCCCTTATTACAGCCGCTAGTCACAAAAAGGCACTAATTTTGGGGTAAAAAGGGCACTTGTACAAAAAAAAGTATGTTTGTGTCCAAAATAGGGCACTCTTAAAAAATATTGGGGAGGGGGGGGGGGTAGTAAAACACTTGCGAAAAAGAGGGCACTTGAATAGAATAGGGCAGTCTTTACAAAATATTGGGGGTGGGGAAATCTAATCTCCCCACACCCCTGTCTACACTACTGCCCTCTCTTGTTGGCCCACAGGGCCCACACCACTCTCAGAAAAAAATTCTTATTGTATTCTCAGATAGTGCACAAAAAATAGGCAAGACAATAAGCAAAGTTCTTACATGTGACCTTACACAAAATGTGCCATCATAGTTATAGATAGGGCACAATTTTACCCAAGCAATAGGGGAACGGGCCATATCCGGAAATGAGGCCACTATAAGGATGATATTCTCTGGGTGCAAACAGAAAGAAACGCACGTTCACTGGAGCAATTAATGGATCCTTGCTTCAATCTAAAACTTATAGCCTGTCAAAATGGAACTTGCTTGAGCGACAGCAACATGTGATTTACAATGTATGTCAATAGATTCTTTACACAGTGTTCCCTCAATCAGGACATATAGATTCTGTGATTTACACTCAATGACAATGAAAGTACACTGCTGTCACCTGCACACCATTCACTCAAAAATGGCAAAAACAGCAACAAAACAGGTTTTGCCTAACATTTTAATAACTCTTCTCTTCCTTCTGCCCATAATTGGCATTGTATTTCTCCATTGCCTCTAGGTAGCTGACGGGAGGCCAGCGGTTCTCGCTGATGTACTTCAGGTTCTCCCCCTCCAGCATCTTAAACTCCGCCCACTGCTTGAAGGCCATGAAGTTACTTGAGATGAAATGAAGGCACCATGTGGCCAGCTGGGTTGCATTACACAACTGTCAAACAATGAAACATGAATAACTTCTCTTTTATACATGTAGTCATTCTGTATATTTCTATCATCTATTAGCAATGGACCTATCGCTGTTTGCGAGTAAGCCACGCCCCTTAGAGAACCCTATGGAATTTTAGTACACTAAGTTTTATTTGTCTTAGATTTTGCGCGTTCCACGTCCATTCGTATATCATGTAATTGGACAATATTTCACAAGCTGCGTTGACGCGATTCTAACGCAATCATACCGCGATAGGTCAATTGGTGTTATAAACTCAAACTCGAAGGGCAATCAATATAAATTAAACATTGGTATGCCCATGGGCACCACCCGACTGTTGGAGGAGCCGTTCAAGCAGATGATAATACCCCAACATTATTTGACAAAAGGTGGCGCTCTTTACTGCAAGGTGTTTGCAAAAAATTATATAGGTTTTCCCAGCCCATATCCTTAAATGTTCATTCACTTCTGAAAATCAGTCATTTGTTTTCGTCTGAATTTGAATGCTCGTCTTTAATCCAATTTCAATTCAACGAAAGTTCAATCGTTTTCATTGTCCGTGCATTCGGTTTTGAGAAACAGACGGCCAATTACGTTACCTGTGCATTCATTTACGCAAGCATGCCTTCTCTAAATTGATTTCAGGTACAGCTGAAATGGAATTGAATGCTCTAGTAGCGAAAACAAAACTCATGTTCAGAGCGATTCTCAAATTCAGACGAAAATGAATGACTGATTTCAGAAGTGAATGAACATTTTAGGAAATTTGCCAGGAAAACCTATTGCAAACAACTTGCCAATGGAATGATAATTTTGTCAACTAGAAACGATTAATTAATTAATTTATTAAATTCTTCACACCCTTCCTGTGACATCAACACCTGAGGTAGACCATGAGGCTCCAAATGGCGACTGAGAAACAAGTTCAAATTACTGTCTAGCAGGCCACATACCTGAGCAGTGTGCAATAGTCCAATGACATCCACATGTGCCTCTGCTATGCTGTTTGCCACAGCTACATCCACACCCTTGGTGATGTACAACTCACAGAGATTCTTCAGTCGTTCTTGGCCGTACCGATCAGCAGCTACCATGATCCCCACGGCATCTCCCTCCTCTATAGGGGCGTGGTCAGTATACAGGTACTCCAAGAGGGCCAGGAAACACTCCGGACTCACGTCTTCTATTCTAATCTACAAATAACAACAATTAATGCAGTACATTCACTTTCGATTTTTTCCTCAATTTTCAGCAAAACCAGCCATCACTATCTGCCCAAATGTATCATCGGAGTTGTATAAACTATAAGCAAAGTTACAGATGTACATGTGCAAAGTGAACTTGAAATTGTTGGGAAATTTTGTATAATTTGTCAAGGGACTTTTACATGCATCCTCATTTTAGGAACAGTTTTTAACTAAAGAAAAAAATAAATAAAATCAGGTGGCTAGACTGAATATACTGGGCTTCCCCTCAATTATAATCCTAAACTCTTTCAAGAAGCACAAAAAATATTACCTCTTCTTTGTTGCTTTCTGTATAGATGCCACTAAACATTCGGGCCATTATTTCACAGCGGGATGTTAGCAATATCTTGTGCGCAAAGAATGTCTGGTCTGTGTGAAGACAAAAAACAGTCATTCTCTTGATTGAAATTGTCACACATGTATTTTGTGGTAAATGACATTACTTGAAAGACGTAAACACATAGATTAGTAATTGATTAACATTGTATTTATTAGTAGTTAATTAAATTAAACGGTATTACTCTTCGACTGCTGAGGTAGTTTTGGGCCGGTAAAATGACTCTGGTTAACAGGCAGCGTATACTCTTTTTGCAGCATACATCGTATTTTAACCAATCACATCACGCACCCTAACATGAATATTTATCACGCCGTGTGGATGGAAGACACATAAAAGTTCGCGTAGTGTTTTCCCTTCAAGTAAACTTATCCCAACCAACAAAAACATTTGATGAAAATGGACATGGGTTCGAACCACAGATCTTGTGATCCATAGTTCATTCCACTATCTACTAGGCCACTGTAGCAGCTCGAAGAAAACTGTTCTTTGAAATGCTTTAATCTACATGCATGACTGAGCCATAGCAATGGTGTGACGTCATTGTAATTGCCGGGTGGCATGTTTGGAGCTATAAACTGCGGGCAGTGTGGCAATGTGGCAGTGGACACGTGCTAAGAGAGTACCCTTTTCGAAAAATTTTTAAAAAAATAATAGAAGTATTCTTGTTTTTGGTTATGTATTATGCACATTTGTTTAATATTGGTGTCAACATTATGTCAATATACTAATATGCTTAAAGCTATAGTCCATCATTTGCAGCCATCCGAAAAGTAACTGGCGTAATTATTGTTGAAAAACAAACTTGGTTGAAAGATAGTAAGGGAACTAAACTCCCTGTGAAATTATTCCTTCTGGGAAGCTGTCATTTTGAAGTAATCAACGAAAGAAGGCCTTTCCAACGGTGATTCTTAAGAAGCACCGTAGGAAAATTTAAATTAGTAGTTTTTTTGTTATTCAGCGCAGCGCGCACAAGTATTGGAACGAGGCACACGCGCGCGCGGTTGTTATAATTCGTCGGATCAGTGCGCTACGTCGCGTATAGCTGCAATTCCAAACAATTCAAAACATGATTCAGTAACTTTTGATTTCAAATTGAGATCTTAGAATGCTGCTTTTCTCGGAATGTACAGCTGAAGCTTAGCTGAAACTTCATCAGGTTAGTTGCTCAGTATCCTTCATTAGATTTTGAACACTTTTGTTGCTTCAAACGAACAAAATGCACTAATTACAAATGATGGACTTTAGCTTTAAGTTGTTTGCGTATGTTTTACTTAGGCATTGCATGTGGAGTACATTTCAAAATTCAATCCATCTTATTTCATTATGTTCTACAAACACGCACATGAATTCAAAATGTCTGCGCCCAGGACGGCTTCAAGGCGTCTCCGCACGCAAGAATGAGGAGTTAGCGCTCTAGTAATTTAATATAGCTCTATGGTAGGCACTGAAATTGACCATATGTCAACTTCCTAGGCAGTATTTGCATTAACTGATGCCTGTACATGAGTAAAGGGCATAAATGCATCCACATTCAATCATACACTATACACCACCTCGGGCGGTTGTGGGGCGGTACAAGAAGTAACAGGCAGGCCAGTATGCAGCAGTACTAAATAATGGGCTAAGGGGTTCATTAGCCCAGGTGGACTCCCTTTCCTCCCTACGTTACGGAGGGAGTCCAGGGTATGAAGTGCTCAAAACCGGGCGAAAAAATTTATGACCAATATTTTCAATATTTTTACCTTGTTGGAGAAGCCAATTTTTACGTCGTAGTATTCTATGTGTCTTTATCTATTGGGCCGCTGGGTTCAGGAATTCCATATGCGATGCTGACCGACCTTAATCAGGAAAATAAACTCTAAAGCAACGTTAAACTTGTACGTGTTTGTAGACTCTTTTCATCCGTTTCTCACCGCCGAGTCTATTTTAGATGTACATGACGTACGTCCGTGCAGAGTGTAGTCTGGTTCCCTAGACCTGACAATTATTCTCAGCACTCATATCACGTCTGGTCTGGGAGCCAGACTATGCAGCGTGAATATGCAGTGCGCACGCGCGATTTGCTTAGTAACCACCCTCATACGCACGCGCACTTACTTGAAGGCGCGGTCGCTAATCCAATGACCGAGCGTGTTTTCGCGCCAGTTACCAGAAACGTGTTTCGGCTTTGATCATTGGTTGAGCGTTTTCGTGACGTCGGTTGGCTGGATTGACGTCACTGTTCCAACCAAAACTAAACAAATGAGGGCGCTAGCGTGCGTGCGCACTTTCGTGCGCACGTATGACTCGGGAATAAAACTGATGAAAAAAGACTACAAACACCTACAAGTTTAACGTTGCTTTAGAGTTTATTTTCCTGATTAATGTCGGTCAGCATCACATATGGAATTCCTGAACCCCTGGATCAATAGAGAAGGACACACAGAAAATGTAGGCGTGAAATAAACGTCGATAACGAGGTATAACGTAACAAAAATCTGGTCCAAATTTTGGGTGGTCTTATGTAAAGAATTCTCATCCTGGACGTCAGTCGTAATGCAATGAAGACTTCGTCCAACCTGGGCTAAGGGGTTCATTAGTGAATACTGTGTAAACTTTTACATGTTTGTTTAATGGGCTAATGGGTTAAGACATGTAAAGGGCATGGGACAAAGGGACTAGGAAAGAAACTCCTGCAATCAAGATAATGTACCTTCGACTTTGAATCTGATATCAGACAATTCCTGACTGTTGAGGAACAACCACTTGGCTCTCTGTCCTGTCTGGTCATTCAGGAAAGTCCCGATGCTGGGATTCAGAAACTGCTCTACATTCTGTAAGTTCTTGATGATGCTATCAAGCATAGGCAAACAGAATGAGCTGGATGCCATCTGTAAAGCCACTATGTCCTCTGCACTTGCTCCCTCTGGGATGTTGGGCAGACCTTCATATCAGCGAGGGTGTAAAAACATGAAAGGAAAAATTCTAATTGGTAAGGGAGCTTCTTAATCTTTGGAATGTTTGAAATGTTCTGTTGGGGAACAGCGGGTTCAAATAAGAAACGTACAGTGTTTTCATTTGGAACAATTTCCAATACGATGTGTCCGATCCGTGGTGTTCACAAATGGGAACATTTGTGGGCCCAATTTCATGAAGTGGCAAACATGCAACAGACAGTTAACAGTAAGAGTCTTGCCATTACCTGTGTAGAGAAATTCCAAGACATGGCGGAAGGTCTTGTAAGAGATGTCTTCACTGATTGTTACCTGGGTCGTTGGTTTGTCACATGAGCTACTGTCCGGGGTCACTACATCAAGGATACCAGCTAGACCAGCGATCTTGCCCTCGTTAATGTCCTCCCAGGTAAAGTTCCACACTTTGGAGCCGCTTCCTGTATCCTTACAAGAAAGGCAAAACACGACATGCTATTCAAAGGAAATTTCCCAATTGAAATATAATCAAAACCTTCATTTTGTGAGCTATAAAACATTTGTATGGGCTATGTAAGACAAGTACCCCATCAATGGCAAGACAGGGAGAGTTGGGGGAGACCACTGGGAGAGACATTCGGACGCATAGCTGAGGACGCCTGATGCTCACGCAAAGACACTACATGGCTTTAACGTGCATATTCAGAATAAAATAAGTTGTGCGTACGTTTATAAACCAGTACCAGTGGGCAGTGTTTCCCATCCACAGGACCCTCAAAAGTGGTGAAAAAGCACCCCGCTCTCTGGTTTGTGCATGGAGCCCACTATCTCTATATAAAGACTGGATAGCCAATAGAAAGCCGCACAATGAATGAATTTGACGCCATATTGGTGAGACCGGTGAGACCGCGGCTGGTGATCTACACAGGACAAGTCGCCGTCTTTTTAGACAACATGATTTCTTTGTAACATCGCGGTTCACTTGACTTATATTTTGACCACCACCACTGACCAAGGTTTACAATTTTTCTAACGACGTGGTTTACTTTTTTAATGCCGCAGTTCACTTTTTCGGCGTTTTGGAAATAATAATCACTACGGAAATGTGTCCCTTTTAGAACATCATAATATGTGTACGTGACTAAAGTGCGCGTCAACTGTTGATACAACGCGCGCGTATATACGCGCTGAACATTCGTATTATACGCAGCCATCTTCGTGAGACCGGGGGCGAATTGGTCAATATGCAAAGTCTACTGTGTGAATGCTGTATGGATATCCGCTATCCAGTCTTTATATAGAGATCAGTGATGGGGCCCATATTGATTGGAATTGTTTACAGATGTATAAAAACAAATTCAATCCAAAATATTTGGTTAATGCGTAAAACTTGAACACTGTCAAAGTGGCTCCATCTTAAAGGTCATTGTTCTTTTCATTCACCAAGTGAATTAAGTGGTGAGTTAATCTGTCTGACAAGAGTGTGTCGTAGCCAAGGACAGTGCTTTAAACAGGGGTATGTTAGATATGTTGTTAATGTGGTACATTGAATGATCATAATATCAAGGAACAATTAATCATTCCAAAGATTTTGTTTTTCATCACAAACTAGCAATCCAATTTCAAAGACTTTAAAACAGCTTGCAATGGGCATAACCCTTACCAAACTTGACTGCAGTCATTTAGCATTCCTTTAGCATGCAATTAACATGCGAATGCTATGAGAACTGCCATTTGATAGCATTCACAAAAAGCCATGTCTGTACTTCCTAAAGCATTTTTCATAGCATTCCTTGAGGATAGCAATCAGATAGCAGTTTTATAGCATGTCAGAAGCCCGAATTATGTAAATGAGCTATAGCATTCGCATGCTATGGAGAATGCTATTTAGGCATGCAAACGTGAATGCTATAACAGCATTCACATGCTATGAGAATAGCATTCGCATGCTATGAGAATAGCATTCGCATGCTATGAGAATAGCATTCGCATGCTATGAGAATAGCATTCGCATGCTATGAGAATAGCATTCGCATGCTATGATGCATGCTATGTGAATGCTATCATGACTGCTATACCGTGACATGGACACGGGCATCCTACAACATACATTTTCAATGTCACAATTTATACCAAAAATTACTTGTGTTATATCAGCTTTAATAATTTCATGTATTGAACCATATTTAACACAGCTAACACCATTTTGAAATTTAATAGACCTATGTATACAGACTGTGATCACAATATATGAAATAAGAAAATTGTTCTTTAAGACTTTATCAGCCTCAGAATTGCTGTACAAACATGGGGACACTCTTTGTTTTTGTTTAACATTGTCATGCTTATAAAAGCAATGGCCAGAAATTTAATGCAACAATTCTCTGCTTATAATTTGAATTATCTTTGAAGCAACCAGTAGTCACTTTTATTCCAGTTGGCATCACAATTAAAAACAGTTATCATCCGATATCCAGCTGATTCAAAAATTCAATCAATTGGATGAAGGAATGTTCAACATCACATACACCATGAACACTAACATACTCAAAGCCAGAATAAAATTGTCTTCATCTAGCCAAAAACTGAATACCCACCATGTAGGAATATAGACCCATTGGTAGTACAAACTGTAGACTTACCAAATACAAGCAGTTTGTGAGTGTGTTGCATACATGTGTATGGAGGCTCCATATTGCTTGGTTCAACTGTTGCTTTTAAGTTGTCAATTCCAAAGACTTTCAGCCAGTCATCCAGTGTATTTTGTCATGTACATGTACAACAATGTACAGGTTGAGTGCATGCATGTGAACATGAAATTATATCCACAAGCATTCATGCCATAAGGTAATGTCCATGCTTTCTACAATTTCTTGCAAAACTAAGTGCAGCCTATACTGCACTCTGCACTGACAATATTCAACTGACTGCAGTTTTCAAATTTCCCACACTGACTGTTAATCTGTGGAATGCACAAGGCCATCACTGATCATGTGACTTGTAGTCCATGATATGATTGGCTTTTATATTGAAATGCTATTGTGCAGGCTATGTTTAGCCATGGAATGCTATACTTTAAAATTATTTTACAATTGACTGCTAAATTGGAATGCTGTACTCAATTTGCAGTCCTCCCTCTTTCACTTGCATGCTATGCAGAATGCTTTGAAGCTCGCATGCTATTTGGAATGCTATTTTCATTCTGCATGCTATTGAGAATGCTATATGGACTGCTTAAGTTAGCAGTCATCCAGTCATCATTTTTTGTGAATGCTATGTGGATGCTATAATAGCATGCACATGCTGTTTAAATGCTATTGAACTGCTATGCACATGCTATTATAGCAGTCTAGTTTGGTAAGGGAAGCCATGCCAAGTAGGACCATCGCCCAAGCTACAGTTTGAGTACGTTTTTACATCAGACAATTAAATTTTAATGAGTAAAATTATTCCTTGAAATGATTCATTTAAGCATAAAACATGATATTCCATTTGTCTCCTCCCCCCCCCCCCCATTCAACACATAATTTACTGCAACAGTGCGACTGCTCACTATTTTGTTTAACACATAATCCAATGTAACAGTACAACTTTTCACTTTTTTGGACACCGATGAATCGGGCAAACTTACCGGGAAAAGTAGGTGAGGCCTTGTGATGATAAACAAAATCTTTGGAATGCTGGAATGATCAATCATTCATGGACCACATTATCAAGTACTAGTTTATGCACCAACATCTCTAGCATATCCCCTTTTACTGCACTGTCCAGTCCACAGCGATAGCACATTCATCAGACGGCTTAACTCACCACTTATTCAGCAAACTTAGAAACAGGGGTTTGATGGCCTTCATTTTGAAAAGGTTGCTCGGCCATCCATAACTGAAGAGATACAAAGATGCATTGCCATTGTGTTCATGTACAGAGATTTTGGAGGATTCAAGAAAGTTCCTAACAAAAAAATCAGGTTTGAAAGATAAAACACAGCAAACCTGGTCTGGCAGTCTCAGGCCAAAGACACAGCAGAAGAAGTTAGAGGCACTACACAGCACCACTTTGTGAGCCAAGATGCTCTTCCCTTCAACGATGAAGGTGACGTCAGAGTAAGATGGCTGCTCCAACGCCTTGCCTAAGTCCTCTGCAATTGTTGATGTCTGGATTTCAATCCGTGGGGCTTCATCTTGAGACAATAAGAAATACACAAATCCAGGGTGGTCAAATTACCGTGAACACACAATTTGGGTATTTTTTGGGCTTTACACTGGGCTTGGATGTCCAAATTGTAATTATATGCATTCATGTATGTTGCACTCGTGTGCTACTCTTCTGTGAAATTCCGTTCCATGTCATTTTAATTATGTTATACAATCATGCACGTCCGTTCAAAATCAGCGAAGGACATGTACAAAGTATTCTACGTGCACAAAAAAATTTACTATTAAAATGTAACGGCCGAATGCTATGTCACCAATGAAATGGACCAGGGGTGAACTTGTATATCTCACAGTGAAAGTTCAGGCAATGTTGAATTGAGGTCAATTGCAATCAAAAGTGCACATTGCTTGCAAGTCTTCTTACTTGCCGTTCTCACCTAGTGGGGGTTTCTCAGGTGGGAGTTGCTCAGTTGGGCGGGCTTTTTGCTTCCTCTTCCCAAAACCAAAGAATCTAAAACCCCTCTTCTTCTGCGGCTGGTTTGCCTCATCAGCGATGCTTGCCTCATCAGCGATGTAAACCTGTCAAGGAGAAGGAATTCTTTAATCCTAGTGGTATTCCTATGATTTTGGCACGTGTGGTCTAACAGTGGAGCACAGGATTCATGATCGAGAGGTTGTGAGTTCAAGCTCTATCATGGCCATGCGTGTTGTACCCTTGAGTAAGGCGCTTTACCTCAATTACTCCTCTCAACCCAGGTGTTAAATGGGTACCGGCATTATTCAATGCTGGGAAGGTAACAGACACACTGTGGAGGAGGTGTGGCGATCCCCCCACAGCAGCATATGAGTCTGGCCCAATTGCTATAAACGAAAGAGAGATGGGCACTCCGTTGCTGTTAAAATTTCAAAAATTCACAGTTCTATTTCACTTTAAGTTATAATGCCTTCGGCACCAGATTCAATTAAGGGTTTCTTTTTCATTAACCGTCAATAAAATTAGCTGTACCTGAAATCAATTAGGAAAGGTATGCTTGCGTAAATGTATGCACAGGTAACTTAATTGGCCGTCTGCTTCTCAAAACAGAATGCACAGACAATGAACACGATTGAACTTTCGTTGAATTGAAATGGGATTCAAGACGTGCATTCAAATTGAGACGAAAACGAATGACCTATTTTCAGAAGTGAATGAACATTTCAGGAAATTGGCCGGGAAAACCTATGTTCTTAAACAAGAAAAAACTAAGTAGTGTGTGACCAGCATTTAAATTCTCAGCACATCAAGCCAAATACACCAAAATTCTAAGGAACTGTACTGGCATGGATTTGAACCTTTTTTAATTTCATCTTCGAGGACTTAAACTTCAGAGTACTCACTGCCTTCTGAAAGCAATCTATTAGATTTACGTTCAGCAGTCCCGTCATCTCAGTGTATCCCACGTTGTGTTTCTTGGCTACTTTCAAGCCCTCATCATATGAGACAACGCGTCTCCGATGGGCACTCCAAGGATCATCTGCCAAAAGAAAACAAAGCAAAACTTAAACAAAATGCTTTGCCTGCTTGTTTTGAAGTTGGTAAATAAGATGAAACAATTATGGCAAAATTTCGCACCAACTAATAAGCAATTCCAGTGTTGTAGTGGAGTCCACAACAACTTCTTTCATAAGCAATTCAAAAGTCGTTTTATTACAGTGAAGTCACAAGTAAACGGGGACAAGGGCGGATGCAGAACACAATTTTTTGGCCCCCCAAAAAGTGGGTCCCCCAAAAAAGTGTGGCATGAGGTTCGGGGCCCGCTCAAGGGCCCCAGTAAAGTTTTGGATTCTAGATGCTCTGTGGTGATCTGAGGCAATTGCTGACCACTTTACCCAATTTTTTGAGAAAAAGATGGTGGTGTACGCAGTGCCTGCCTTTATTGCGACGTCAGTTCAAAATGTTTAAAAAAATGAGGTTTTTTTTAGGGGGGGGGGGGGGATATGACCCCTGTTATCCAATCTGATATCCAAAACATAAAAAGTCACCAATGTTTCATGGTTGCATAAATGTTTTGGGGTTAAAAATAAATCAGCGTATCGTTTGCTTTTGATAAAAGTCAATAAAAGTACTCGGATTGCGGACAATATTACTTTCGATAATGTCTGGCGCGCCCTCATCCAGGCATTTCAAGAGCGCATACTAGAGACTCACAGTTGTCAACCCGCGAACAGAGAACGTAGCGCCCTGTACCACTGAACACGGACGCCCAAGCAGCACGCAGCAGCCCAGGTATAGGTGCAAGAATAATCACAGTGGCAGCTTCAATTAGTTTGATAAAATAGGAGAAATGAAGACGGTGTTTTAAATTGTATTTTTTGAAAATCAAGTCAGCCTGATATAAATGATAATAATAATAATATTGGATGGCTTTTTTTCGGGGACACAATAATATATTGCACTCGCTATGACAATAAGGCACTCGTCTTCAACTGGTGCAATATTGTCATAGCTCATGTAATATATTCTTGTATCCACTTCAAAGCTATCCAATATTTTATCATTAGTTTTAATAATTATATAATATTGGATGGCTTGTTTTCAGTAGATACAAGAATATATTGTACGAGCTATGACAATATTGCACGAGTCGAAGACGAGTGCAATATTGTCATAGCTCGTGCAATATATTCTTGTATCCACTGAAAACAAGCCATCCAATATTATTATTATTATTTATATCAGGCTGACTTGATACGCAAGAAGCACAATTCAAGACACTGTCTTCATTACATCTTTTTCGTTTACATCAAACGTTTTGAAGCTGCCACTGTAATTGTTGACAACAGTGCGCGTATACCTGGCCTAATTCTGCGCGCTGCATGCGCGCTGCATACGCGCGGCGTGTTCAGTGTTCGACGGTACGCACGTGCTACACTCTGTTGAGTGGTTGACAACTGTGACTTTCTATGCTCTTGATCAAGCGGGAACCAGCGAAAATGCCCAGATGACTGCAATAATAATGTTATTGTAGTCAACCGGGTACTTTATTATTGCAGTCATCCGGGAACTTTTTACGAAAGCATACAATACGCTGATTTATTTTTACCGCTGGAAGCCTGATATAAATAATAATTGTTATTATCAAAATGGCTGGTAGTTAGGTTATGAGCTGATTTTTGCTTTGCATGCAAACTTTACAAGCCCATAGTTTAAGGCTGTTTTTACTGTGCACTTGCCTATCTTGGTTGCAACTAGAAGGATTGGAATGTCAGGCATGGCATGGCGGATCTCTGGAATCCATCGAGATTCAACATTCGCCAAGGAAGACTTGCTTCGAACAGAGAAATACAAATGAAAGACTTCCTCATCGTAAGGAGGATGTGGCTCAGGGCTAGGATCTGGATCACTGCAGCAACCCCTCTGGCATGTCTGGGTAAAGACAACAAGTACATGTACATGTATGTGGTTGACACTAATATGTATCAAGTCTAACTCTTTTAGTGCAATTTCCAGTGTTGTAGTACTCGTATTGGTACTCAAGTACTACTCAAGTACTTTTTTGGAGTACTCGTACTCGTACTCGAATGTCAAAGTACTCGTACTCAAAATGAGGGTACTCGTACTCGGGCAGCAAAGTACTCGTACTCGCACGTGACAAAATTGCACTCCATCATCAAAGTACTCGTACTCGAATAGTACTCGATAAAACAAAGTACTCGTACTCGAATAGCGGTATTCGATGAACAAAAAAAATGCAGTATATCACTTACGTTAAACCACGGCCTTACGTTACACCACGGCCTTACATACATTCAGTCGTAATTTGAGCAAGATGTGCCTAGTAGTGTTTGAGTTAGACAAAAACGTATTAAGGGGGACTTTCTTTTTGGGTGAGTGTATCTTTAAACCCAGTAAGCTTTTCAACAATAATTACGTCAGTTACTTTTTGGATAGCGGCAATGATGGACTGTACCCTACCAGTCCTGAATCCTCCAATTTTAATACGAATTTGCACACCCCCTAGGGAGTTTGGGCTGAGTAAAGTTCATAATATGAACAAATTTGTCCAAAAAGACAAAAATTGTTACAGTGGGCAGATTTCGCGCACAGGTGTTGTCTGTAAAGATATCATCATATATTAATTTTCAAGTGAACTTCTCATAGAACATTGTACACTAATGAAACTTGGCCTGTATTAAACACTATGTTTAAGACCGGTTGGAGTCTGCATTTTGATAATTAACCCACCCGAAGCATCCAGATTCCAACCGGTCTTAAATAGAGGGTTTAAAACTGGACAAGCACACATTTATTTCCTTAATGTTATGTACAATTCCAAAAGACTTCTTCTCACAGGTTTCTCCACACCATTTGTGTTGAGTAGTGCACTGGTCTCTGTATATGCCATGTTATGTTTCTGCGCCAAGTTGGAGCCCTCTTCAAATGTGATACAATCATAACGGGAACTCCCACGAAGGTCTGTAAAGAAGAAGATATAAATTATTTCTCTATTTATTATTTTTTTAAAGATACATATTATTTAAATTATTCCACTTGATTAGATTCACAGGCACAGAGAAACAATATTAGAGAAAAGTGTCTTGCCTGTGGACAAACATTGTTATTTCCATTGGCTGGTGAAATTCTGAAAGACCAGCCAAGTTGAAAAATTAACTAATGTGTTTCCAGGTTTTGAAGCAGACCTAGGAGAAAAAGTAGAACTTAGTACCGGCATCAACATTTTAAAAGCCAAAAGTAGGAGTTTGGAAGGCAAAATCAAGACAGAAGTAGGACTTTGTAGGAAAACGTGAGAAGCTGGACGATTTACGTGTAAACCTTCACCTGCCTCTGCGAATACGCATTGCAGGGCTTGAATTGAACGACAGCCACGATGGCCAGTGCCGTCGTTGCCTTCTTACTGGCTGAGGTGCCCCACAAAAAATCCCTGTCTTCACGGCCAGTTTTGCCTTGCCCCATATTTGCCTTGGCCGTCGTGCCCTTTTTGCAAAAACATCCATCAGACTAATAAAACCACTACAATCCTTGATTTCAGTTGTTTTTCCAAACATTGACAATGTATTTCGACGTCATGCCAGCCCGATCAGTTTCTTAAAATCTTGCTGAATCAATCACGTGTGCGCAGTAGTACAACGTAGTACGGCTGGCCGTGACCAAACACCAGCGATTCACCATACACTGTTCATGCATGTACGATGTACACACACACTGACAACTGAATCTCCAGTTCCTATGTGCTGATACTTCAAGTAGCGACACCCCCGCCGCAAAAGTATATGTCTGTATTCGCACACACACAAACCAGCAGGAGTAAGTACGGCAGATCTTACATGCAATCACCGACTTTCTATTTTTACATGAAAATAGAGATGGCAATCGCACGTCGTCACTAACCATTAAATAAAACCGCGTACAAAAGAACGTAATTTCTATTCCCCCAAAATTGTTCAAAATTACAAAAAAGGTTTCCTTTAAACTGAGAGAAGCCTGCTTTAGGTTGAAAAGGTAAATTTTTGAATGATAAAACACCTAAAAAGACTAAAATTTGATCGAAACTAAATAGGGGCCCTAAACTACACGGTTGTTGATGTAATTTTCGCATTTTTTTTTTATTTTAGCAGGCCTCTGTGCCCCTTCTGCAGATATTACTTTGGCCTTTGTGCCCTCCTCACTGGCCTTGGTGCCCTTTATAATTTTGCTTCATTCAAGGCCAAAATGGCCTTTCCCTAAAAATTCCCAAATTCAAGGCCTGGCATTGCCAGATCGTGTTTACACATCCTCCGACATCAACAGGTTAATAGAGTGATTCTGAGCTGATTTGCTTTCTAAACCAAAGTCACACAAGCACAATTACACGTAAAGCGGTCATTACTTGCCTATCTTTGTTGCAACAAGAAGAATTGGAGTGTTGGGCATGTGATGGCGGATCTCTGGTAGCCATTCTGTTTCTATACTTTCCAAAGAAGACCGCATCTCCACAGAGAAAACTATCATAAAGATGTCCGTTTCTGGATAGTTCAGAGGCCTCAGACGATGATAGTCTTCTCCCTGCACACACAACAGTGAAAATCTAACTTCTAAATACCTTGCATTTGTTAGGCCATGTTACACTCCCGTTTTTTTGTGTCAACTTGTAGTACCAGGCGGGGAATTGAATATAATTCAAGTTTTATTTGCCGATAGTTTATATTGATGCGAATGTATTGATCATGCCTCCCCCCCTCCAACAAACCCAATCGTTGGGTTTTTTTAGTGACGTTCGAATAAAGGCAGGCACTGCATACACCACAATCTTTTCCTCAACAAGATTTGTTAAAGTGGTCAGAAATTGCCTGAGATCGCACCGCAGAGCACGTAGAACAAAAAAAAAATGGTTCTGGGCCCTTAAGCAGGGGCCCCGAACCCCACACCGTAACTTTCGGGACCCACATTTTGGGAGACCACAATTTGTTTTGGCCATTTTGGTTAAAGATCACAGATGTTTTAATAATACTTCTGCTACTCCCATGTGTCCTGATTAAACAGTAAAGAAAGCAGAACATACCCCAGTACAATCAACAAGATAGTGAGCAAAAGACTTCCCACCAATCTCTACATTCAGCGTGTTATGGTCAAAAACGGTGGGGACGTAGACCCTTGGGAAGTGACCCGTGGCGTAGGAGATGCAGAGACTGGTCTTGCCGACACGTCCATCCCCGACAATCACAATCTTCACGATATTCTCTGTTGCTTAAGATACAAGGGGAAAGAGAGAAATGATACATTACAACACGGATGCAGAACATACTTAGACAAGTCGACAGGACTGTGGACAATAGGCTTCCTCCAACTACCACATCGCATATGTATTGCTCATAAACAAGGGCGGATCCAGGGGGGGGGGCCAAAGGGGGCCATGGCCCCCCCCCCCCCAAACGAAACCAATTTTTTTTTTTTTATGTGACATCGCAATAAAGGCAGGCAATGAGTACACCACCATCTTTTCCTCAAAAAAACATTGGTTAAAGTGGTCAGAAATTGCCTCAGATCGCCCACAGTGCATCTAGAATCCAAAAAATTTCGGGGCCTTTAAGCGGGCCCCGAACCCCTCGCCGTAATTTTTTGACCCACTTTTTTGGGGCACCAAAATTTTTGTTGGCCCCCCCCCCCCAAAATTGTGTTCTGGATCCGCCCTTGCTCATAAACGATGGGGATATATACATCTTGGGGAAGTAACCTTTGGCATAGGAGATGCAGAGACAGGCCTTGCCAACAGTACTATCCAAACCAATGCGATATTCACTATCTTCTCTGTTGGTTCAGATACATGGGTAAAGTACACAAATAATGATTGCATGATCATGAGTGCAATGGAGTACCAAAGTGAATACGTCACACGCACAAAATGTGTGTGAAAGACATTAGGGTGTGATTCAGCCCGTGAACCAAAACGCGCGTACTCCACTCATTTACACTACACTTTCTGGTTCTAAATGACGTCACACTTCGGTACTCCATGGTAAGAATAATTTCATGAGGTGCCAGATGGAATGTTTCATTCCCTAAGGCACTCACTGTAAAAAAAGAAAGAAATGATCCAGTCTTAAATGTAATTGTTTAAAGGGACATTACGTCCTGAAATTCGCCCAATAGGGCTACAATTACAAAACGCATTCTAAAGGAAATGATATTAAATAGAAAGAGCATTTAAAAGTAGATTATATATGTCCACACAACTATCCACACAACTAAGGGCCAGGTTATTTTGACCATCTCACAGCCAGGGGTGGGGGGGGGAGGGGGGATTCCACCCCCTAAGAGAAGTTTTTGCATGGTGAAAGTGGCTCGCTAATTGGATGATGGAGATGTTTACAGAGTGAGTAAAAAAAAAAGAAACCCAACTACCAGAACTATTGTTTTAGTGAAGTTCTGCATGTCGCACTTGAAAAATCTAGGATCTGAAAGCCCAATTCATAAGCTTTCTTTTAGTATATGAATCATTCAAATAACTCATGTACTTTTCAAGTTACGGAATTTTAAACACAACCACTGTTTTAAAGTTTTGTCCAAGGATCACAAAAAAGGTGTGCATTATTTCAGCAAAATGAAAACGATTCACACTCATCCCTATGTGATTTGGTTTCGTTTTGCTGAAAGAACACTTACCTTGTTGTAATCCGTGGACAGAACTTTAAAACAGTGGTTGTGTTTAAAATTCCATAACTTAAAAAGTACATGAGTGATTTGAATGATTCTTGTACTGAAAGAAAGCTTATGAGTTAGGCCTTCATATCCTAGATTATGAAAGTGCTACATACAGAAATTCTCTTAAATAATGGTCCCGACATTTGGGTTTCTTTTTTTTTTTCTCACCCTGTACATCAGGTGTTGTATAAAACCAACTACACAAATGCTGACTTCTGCAATGTGAATTAATTGATCTTTGATTAACCATATTCGTGACTACATGAATTGTGCAATACTAAAACTCACCGTCAGCATGATTGGGCATTGTGATAGTTGATGGAAACTGCTCATGCCAATATTCCTCTCAAGTTCATATGGTGGCCCGCATTTCGCTCAACAAGCTGGCAATTCAACCTGTTCACAAAGAAACATGTTTCGGGAGGTTCTAATTATTAGTTGCATTTCACAAATTTTGACCTAAATTCTCAAGGTTGAGCAAAGAAAATGACTGGAACGGGGTTTGAACTGTGACCTCCGCATTGCTATTCCGGCGCTCTACCGACTGGTTCCCCATTACATTATCTTGAATGTCTTTGTTCTAGTCTGGTTCCCAGACCAAAAGATTCCGACTATTCCTGATGAATCTTAGGTCTGGTAGCCTCCGATAAATGGCCAACTAGTTTGGTCGGTCTAATATTTTGTTCCTTACATCCCTAAATGAACCGGGCCCGATCGCTATGCGCCACACCATGACACAGCGCAGCGCTAGCGCGCGGCACAGCCACGGAAGTGAGGTTTAACTTTACTTTAAAGTTTAACACTAAATCAGACCCGATTTTGATTTCCTCAGAGTCAGAATCACTTTTCCCCACAATACAAATAATGTTTACCGTTGTGTAGCTCAAGTATGTACAGAGAAATACCCATCAATCATTTCAAGACGTCAGACTCGACTCGATCGTTCGTGACCTCGACGCACAACACTCGCCTTTACTTCCGTGTTAATCAACTTTAAATCCCAACACCGCCGCGCCCAGGGTGACCGTAAGGTCATGGCAAAATTCTGCTAAATGCGCTTCAAAAATCTGTCAGATTTATCAAAAATCTGCCTAATTCCCCAGATTTTCTCGAAATCCACTAAAAAACCAAAACCACATGCAGATTTGTAGTTCTGCCTTAATTAAGGTTCAAATTACATTATTAACAATTTATAGTCACATAAAGAGGTTGTGAAATTATTGCGTAAATTTCAGGCAAAACGCGGTTGCGGTGTGAAGTCCGGTTCCCAGTTAACCTCAGCGCCTAGACCAGCCAACCTGTCCCATTATGCAAGGGTTTGTTTGAAAAAGATTGAAGGTTTTTTAAACAATTGTACTTTTTTTCAAATTTGCACATTTCTGCCAGAAATCTGCCAAAAATATCCATTCTGTCAAATTTTGTCAAACTCGTTTTTTAACAAAAAAATCTGTCAAAGTTAGCCGAAAATCGGCTAAAACGGTCACCCTACACCGCCACCAAGTGTTCAATGATGTCCAGTCAGTCAGTCCGTCGGTAGGGGAGGGGTCTGGGAGGGGGCGCAACAACATTCCCCACTCTTGATGGTCTCGAACTTAATGTAGTCAATAATCAGGTCAAAATTGGGCAAACACTCAGAGCAGTAATTCAAATTTAAGTGCAGAATAGCAGACTCCAGTCTCTGTGATTGGGCCAGGGGCATTTGTGACAGTGCTGTATGAACAAAACATGATTCAGTTTTATATCTCACTTTGATGAGCAAAGATTTTTTTTTTTAATTAGCCCTACCATTGTTTTATGTATACCATAATTTATGCATGTAGGGATACTGCGTAGCACTTCAGCATGTAAACCAATAGTAAAGGCCGTGCTCACTGGAAAGTAGTTGTAAAAACTTTACACAGCTGGGAGTTTTTGCAGGCAATCGTTGATTGGAGCGCTGCAACTTGCTGAACACTGCGCTAGTATTTAACATGCACACTTCTCTATCTTCTCTATAGAACAGTGATTATTACATTTTTTGTCACTTGAAAGAATTTTAAAAAAATGTTTTGCACGGCAAAGTAATAACAAATTAACAACATACTTCCAGTACAACAATTAATTTACTTGTTTATTTAAATGACTAAAATACAGAAATTAATGATAAAATGTTAGTTTAAATGGAGTACCGAAGTGTGACATCATTGAGAACCAGAAAGTGTAGTGCAAATGAATGGAGTACGCGCACGTGTTGGTTCACAGGCTGAATCATGCGCCAATGTCTTTCACACACACATTTTTTGTGCGTGTGACGTATTCACTTACTCCATAATTTAGACAACTTTCCCCAGATGTCTCCTGCCCCCCCCCCCCCAATTTCCCCATGGCCCTTCCCCCCCCCCCCCCCATTTCAAATTCTGAATTAAACAAAGGTATATAAAATATAAAGTATATCTATATATATATATATATATATTCACTATCCTTTCGAAACATTTGCGCCACCCCTGGTGCCCCCAAAGTTTAACCCTAATGACGCCAGGGATAGCAAGCAAATGTAATATAACTGCCAATGATTTACATAAATATATGTGCCCTGCACGAAGCTCTTATCTTTAAAAATTTACAACCTCTTTTAAGTTCTGGGAGGAGCAATTCATCTACTTGTCACTTTGTGGTTGGTCGGTTGGTCGATCAGTCGGTCTGTACCTGGAAAATTGACCAAAAACGACCCCCTAAGTTTCCCATAAAATACCAAATTTTAATGTTCCCAAAAGAGCAAACCAAATAAATTAAATACTGTCACAAAAATTTGCTCCGTCAAAAAAAAAAAAATTCCACACAAATTCCTAAAAAATAAGTTGAACCCTCCCCGCCCCCCCTGTGACACCCAACAAAAATTTATACTGGTATAATGTCTGTCTGTTCTAAATACGGTAGACCATTCTGTAATCTAGTGCTAATAATTGTCGAATTTGAACAGCGCCCCCTATTGAAATATGGTACCAGGCCCCCCCCCCCCCCCCACCCCCAGTATTTTACCGAGGCCAAGTGTCCGGAAAAAAACCTGTGTACATTTTCAGGTTTTTTGCTGATGAAAACCCCCCCCCCCCCCCCCCCCCCCCACCCCCCCCCCCCCCCCCCCCGCGAAAATTCCTGGATCCGCCCCTGTTGACAATGAGAGTACAATGCAGGTACTCCTGCAAAGTAAAGGTGAACCAAGACCTAGCTCAGGTGTCCTGTCAGCTGCATATTCTGGGCTCACAAATTGCTTGTTCCCGAAAGTGGCTAATTGTAACAGCGCCCCCATTCAATAAAAAAACAAGTCAGGTGTGTTTACAAACCACAAATGCCCCGCAACCGTGACTGTTTCCATGACATAACACCACTCTAACATCAACTTACATGTACCTTGGTCAAATGGAACGTTCATTGACAGCATTAGTGTCTTCTGTAGGTTTTATATGAATTAATCCCTAATCCCTATGATCTAAGAATAAATACAAGATTTCTATTGTTTTAGCCACTGTGACCTTGACCCTTGACCTTTTGACCCCCAATGCGATAGGCTTCTTAGGATTGCCAAGGACAATCCACAAACCAAATTTGAAATTCATATGTAAAGTATTCTCAAGTTATCGCGCTGACAAAATTTCTATCGTTTCAGCCACTGTGACCTTGACCCTTGACCTTTTGGCCCCAAATGCAAAAGGCTTCTTAGAATTGCCAAGGACAATCCACAAACCAAATTTGAAGTTCATATGTAAAGTATTTCTCAAGTTATCGCGCTGACAACATTTCTATTGTTTCAGCCACTGTGACCTTGACCCTTGACCTTTCGGCCCCAAATGCAAAAGGCTTCTTAGGATTACCAAGGACAATCCACAAACCAAATTTGAAGTTCATATGTAAAGTATTTCTCAAGTTATCGCGCTGACAAAATTTCTATTGTTTCAGCAACTGTGACCTTGACCCTTGACCTTTTGGCCCCAAATGCAAAAGGCTTCTTAGAATTGCCAAGGACAATCCACAAACCAAATTTCAAGTTCATATGTAAAGTATTTCTCAAGTTATCGTGCTGACAAAAATTTCTATTGTTTCAGCCACTGTGACCTTGACCCTTGACCTTTCGGCCCCAAATGCAAAAGGCTTCTTAGGATTACCAAGGACAATCCACAAACCAAATTTGAAGTTCATATGTAAAGTATTTCTCAAGTTATCGCGCTGACAAGATTTGTCCGGACACACACACCCACACACAGTCGTTTTTATGCCCCGCGGCGAAGCCGAAGGGGCATACTGTTTCCGCCTTGTCCTTCCGTCCGTGGGTGGGTGGGTGGGTGGGTGGGTGGGTGGGTGGGTGGTGGGTGGGTGGGTGGGGGGTGTGTGGGGGGGTGGGTGGGTGGGTGGGTGGGTGGGTGGGTGGGTGGGTGGGGGGTGGGTGGGTGGGTGGGGGGTGGGTGGGTGGGTGGGTGGGTGTGTGTGTGTGTGTGTCCGGATAAATCTTGTCAGCGCGATAACTTGAGAAATACTTAACATGTGAACTTCAAATTTGGTTTGTGGATTGTTCTTGGTAATCCTAAGAAGCCTTTTGCATTTGGGGCCAAAAGGCCAAAGGTCAAGTTCACAGTGGCTAAAACAATAGAAATCTTGTCAGCGCGATAACTTGAGAAATACTTTACATGTGAACTTCAAATTTGGTTTGTGGATTGTTTTTGGCAATCCTAAGAAGCCTTTTGCATTTGGGCCAAAAGGCCAAAGGTCAAGTTCACAGTGGCTAAAACAATAGAAATCTTGTCAGCGCGATAACTTGAGAAATACTTTACATGTGAACTTCAAATTTGGTTTGTGGATTGTTTTTGGCAATCCTAAGAAGCCTTTTGCATTTGGGGCCAAAAGGCCAAAGGTCAAGTTCACAGTGGCTAAAACAATAGAAATCTTGTCAGCGTGATAACTTGAGAAATACTTTACATGTGAACTTCAAATTTGGTTTGTGGATTTCTCTTGGCAATCCTAAGAAGCCTATTGCATTTGGGGCCAAAAGGTCAATGGTCAAGTTCACAGTGGCTAAAACAATAGAAATCATGTATTTATTCTGAGATTATAGGGATTAGGGATTAATTCATATAAAACCTACAGAAGACACTAATGCTGTCAATGAATGTTCCATGTGACCAAGGTACATGTAAGTTGATGTTAAAAGAGTGGTGTTATGTCATGGGAACTGTCACGGTTGCGGGGCATTTGTGTTTGTAAACACACCTGACTTGTTTGCTATGCTTCCGAGGATTGGCTTTGTGTTTTCCTTTGTCCCTGTAATATAACACTCTCCATAGACTAAGCACACAAACCTGCGTTCGAGGACAATAGGCACCTTCCTTCGAGGATCAATGGCCCCTTTGTGCTCCTTTTGTTGTCTGTCCTCGGGCGTAATGCCATGCAGGAACACACCCACCCATCCACCCCACCCACCCACGGAAGGACAAGGCGGAAACAGTATGCCCCTTCGGCTTCGCCGCGGGGCATAATAAAATAAATTGCCAAAATAGCACCAAAACAGGTTTTGCATAGATCTTTTTTCTCCTGAACTGTTTAACTCTTCTCTTCCTTCTGCCCGCAATTGGCGTTGTATTTCTCCAGTTCTTCCAGGTAGCTGATGGGAGGCCAGCGGTTCTTGCTGACATACTTCAGGTTCTCCCCCTCCAGCGTCTTAAACTCCGCCCGCTGCTTGAAGGCCATGAAGTTACTTGAGATGAAATGAAGGCACCATGTGGCCAGCTGGGTTGCATTGTGCATCTGTCAAACAATGAACCATGATAACCTCAGTGTGTTATTTGTAACACAACAGAACTTGTAAAGTAAATAGAGATACTTTACCATCTTTCCACTTAAAATCAAGTTGTTTTGTATTTTGTTTCATTCATGAAAATGAAAGTCCTTTTTGCATTTCATCGATTGGCTTATGTCTTCTACTGGGCTTTAATTCCCAGAAAAATTCAACAATATTTTGTCAAGTTCCATTTAAAATTTACTTCGTTTCATGGAA